TCTTGGACTTGAGCTTGACACAGACAAGGAGCACACAGCAGCTGTGGACCCAAGTGATTCCACAACGGTGACCTGTCCAGCTGGTCGGCCGTCCCCGGTTGGCGGCCTGTGGAGGGAGTTGACAGGTTTGAGGGGGAAATAAAGGAAGGAGGAAGAAAAGGCAAGGATTACACACCCTCGTCATCTTGCTTTTCTAGCTACAAGCTGGATATTCTTTCATTAAAGTCTTCATCTGACAACTTTATGTAATCAGTTTCCATATGAGATGAAAACCGACTAAAAGCCAATCACATGTTGTGAAGAAATGAACTCACGGTTTGTGACTGTGGGGGTTAAAGGTGACACGGGTTGTTTATACAATATTACTTTGTATGAGTACATTTTTGTTTTAGTTATCTTAAGAAAAACGCAATGGCGGGCTTTGTGATAGCTGCAGAGTCTAAGCTCATGACAACGTGAAAGCAAAATGGATTTTCACAAACGATAGGGGTTTAGGAAAAAGGTCGGGAAAGTCTCAGGAGCAGGAAAGGGTAACTAAGGATTTTGAGAAAGGGTGGGCTGCAAAGGAAGGATTTAGGGATGTGAGAGAAGAAAAGATTTGCAGAGATTTGATGTGAAATGATGGTTGAATCAAAGGAGAGTATGTAATGTTTTATTCCAGAACGTGTGCCGCAAAGGAGGTAGCATGAGGAAAAAGATCCGAAGGATGATGGAAATTACCGTATGAGGTTAAGTAGGAGAGGGAGGTGGAGGAGCCCGGGACAGAGCAAAGGAGGATGTCTTTTTTTTTTTTGTACATAGAGGCTTCTGAGATCAATTGACAGTCATTCAAACTGACATCTACAGCAGAGATAAAAACCTTTTCCAAGCAGGCATGATTGGACAAGAATGATTAGCACATTTACTGATGTGGCTTACAACATTTAAACAGACTCCTATGAGACCGGACGTAATTAAAAGTGGAGACGGTTGCCGTGGTCATTTATTGTGACCAATGCATTTTTAAACACATTATTTTAACATCAGTACTGTTAAAGAAATATGGGTTTCTAAAATGGGTCGCACAAATTAAGAAATCTCATTGATTCATAGCCATTATAGAACCCACATTTAATTTGTTTCACACGTATAAAAACCAAACCAGTGACTGACACGCTGTCACATGGCTGCTTGACATTAGCACAACATACCACAGCCATGTAATGAGATACTGCTAATATAGAATTGTGCATGTGTGTATGTATTTGTATGTTTGTGTGTATGTCTGTATGTCTGTGTTCATACATAGCACGCAGATTTGAAAAATATCCTGCAGCAATATCAAGGAAACGTGACAAATCCCAAATCCCAGAACCTGACACCGTAGAGTGCAAACTTTAATTATTCTGTGCTCAAAGTGACAAGGTATCCACAAAAAAACGGTACATGAATCCCTTAATTATGCATATCAGTACTGAATGAAACATTAAGCAGTGGGAGAACACTTCCATCAAAATCAGCTTCTGAAAAACTCAAAGAAAACCTCTTTTCTTCTCTCACGCTCACACACGTCAACACCAAATGTGGTAAAAAGAGGTATCTGGAAGAAAAATGTCTAATCATACACACATTTTACAGATGTAAGTGTGACTTACATGCCGCAAATTACGCGACGTGAGCCGACGGTTCATTGTCTTTGAGACACACTTTGGAAACCAGTTCTTTTCCTTTGGTTTTCACGGTTGGCTTTATAATTCCACAAAAAATCTTTTAATTGGTGAGTAACTTTACAATTTAAAGCCTGCTTTATTAATTTTAGCAACCTGATGTAATGAAACCGACGACATGAAACATTGTCTGTAATCTTAAGTGTTCAATGAAGACAAAAGAATAACGACATCGTCAGTTTTACTCAGCTCCTTTGCTGATCTCCACATTTAGGATCAGTCGATCACGTCATGTATAAATCGGCATTGCAAAAACACCAGCATACAATCAACAGTCGACTCTGAACTGGTATAGAGAAACGTATTCAAACTCTATTACAAATCACAGTTATCTCCCGCTGTGACAAACCAACGCCATTGACTGTGGATTTTTAACTGTGACAGAAATACTGCACGGTACTTTTGTAAATCTACGGCGATCATGACAGTAAAGGTTACTCATATTCCAAGTGGTTTACATCTAAAGTAAGATGAACTTTACCCCGGAGGTCCAGTCACACCTACGTGCCGTGGAAGGATCTGTAACCCCAGCAGGGGGGTCCGTGTGACTCACTGGGGCTTATCTGCAGCAACTACAGCTTTGGCCACTTTGACAGTACCTTGCAGTTGTAGAGAAGGTTAACGTTTGTCAAACATCACATGCACACGCATTATTGTGCTGCTAACTGAGCTGATTCAGCAACTCGGCTGTAGGGCGCAAGGACAGGCTAAGTCTGTCTGCATTTATTATCCAATGTCTCTGAGGACGGGTGCTGATTAAAGGCCACGGACCAAGTATGCTTCACATCTGCCATCTGGAAAAGTCACCGGCCTTCTCTGGTATCATGGTCGACACCTAAGAATTCTTTTGACCAAATAATGGTGACGAGATCTGGTATATTCGAGTGATGGGATGTTAAATGATTGAATAAAAGAACAAATGCCATGTTGCTTCCTTCACATCCACACAGAGCGCCCCAAGATGACGTGTTTATTAGACTGACAATCTGCAGGCGTCACCTTAATAAAAACCAATCGGATTTTGCTACTGGATTATATTTAAGAAAAATGTATTTTCAAATATACGTTTGTATACAGGCTTTGTTCAGAAAGAGTAAATACACAAATGAAGACTCATTTTTTGAATGACATACATACAGGTTAATTGCATTCCTCAATGAGATTTTGATAACAATTTATGAATATAGGGATACAAGGGCTGAATTTGCTCATAGATGAATTTGCTTAAACAGTTTAGTGTTTAGTGCTGTAGGCTGGTTTTAAAACTCCAACCATCTGATCAGAATCCTTTGCTGCTGTTAAAATGCATTTGAAGCTGCGGACATGGTAACACTGTCTCTTTGTGGATGCTCAAAGAACATGAGTAAGGCTGTTATTATTAGCAGGTGGTGATCACATTGAGACTTATTGGATCCCCTCCATCATCCCTTTTACCAGTTTAAATGAGAACTGATATTAAGCCTTAGTTGTATGCATATTATATTATTAGTGTCCCCTTGGATCTGCATGTATACACAGAAAACAACCTGCTTATATGAAATATATTCTAATTTTACAATGTAATCTATTTATACTTAAAACAGTTTCTGAAAAGTCCTTTTACCTTGTTACCTATGACAAATTATCACTGAATGGAACTTAGTGTTTAACATTTTTATTGAATATTGTGTAGATTGATCAATTTTCCTTGAAACAACGATATGATTGTAATTGGATGATCACGTTTTGTAATATATCTTTCTGTGGGTTTTACTTGAGTACCCAATTGGAGATCCCATATAAGGCTGTATTATTTGTATTTCATTTATTGATTTGTCTGCATCCAGCATCCGTCTCTCTGAAATTTTGTGCACACAACTACCCAACCATTATTTCTTCTTCACATTTATTTGGTCCCTAAAATGACATGACACTTTGCTATTAGAAATGGCCAAAAACAACAGATATTGTCGAATTTTCAGTCAATGGCTTTAGAAGTAGAAAAAAAATTACACAAACAATAAAACAATATGCATAAATATCTACTATAGTTAGATTACTTAAATAGGTATTACTATCCATCACTAGCCTGCAAATTCACATTACATGTAGCAGCCAGCATCGCCACAAGCTATCGGAGCAGCAGAGGGTGACTCGTGCAGTAATACATTTCACTGGTCGGGTTAGCGTGTCACTTCGTTGTTTATCAGACATTAAAAATAACACGACCCAGATTCACCTGAGCCCCGCAGCCTCGAAGAGGGAAAATCAACAAAAAATAGCAAAATGCAAAAAATATTGGGTTTGAAAAAAAGACTTTTAAATTGCACAGACGATATTCATGTGCTGCGTTGGTGCACGAGAGAAATGTGACGGTGACTGCTCTGAAAGTCAAATGCATGTGAAGTTCATTTGTTGCAGAACACAATGAAAGTGAATGCTGGTTTACTCATTCTTTGAGATTTCATGTTTTTCTGTGCTTCTTTGATTCTTTGTTCAGTTCAGGCCTGTGAGGTTCATGTGTGTAACATTGTCATAACAAGATAAACCTGGAAAACGTCATCTATTGAAACTAGACGGAGTAAGTGTTCTTTCTGGTGGCAGAGCGAAGTTTATTATGCACTGAGATTTTAGGCTGTGAGAGTTCCTCGATTCAAATGGTATAACTATATATTTTCCACTGCTCATACCTCATATGTGTGTAATTTGGACCGTCACACAATAAAATGACTGGCAGATTTGAAGGCAGGCTGCACAGGGAGTTACCATCTGCGCTATTGGATAACTATGCCATCTACCAACAGTGTGACTGCAGACAAGCAGGGAAATGAAGGCACAGAGGTGTATTGTGTATCTAACACACTCTGGTGGCTGTTAAAAGAGCGGGTTGGTTTTTAAGATGATAATCAGGACATTTCCCTCAGAATTATCTACATAAAAACAATGAATGAGCAGTTGTCTAAACACACGACAAATCAAATCAAATGTATGATCCGCATCTCCCTGTGGAGCCGGAGCGACCGGCCGAGAGGCAGGACGTATGTCATACAACAGGGCTGTGATGCAGTTCACTTATTATATATATATATACACATATACATATATATATTCATATATATAATATATATATATATATATATATATATATATATATATATATATATATAGATTGTCTTGGAAATGTAGACTTTTGTAGTTAACCATTTTAACCGGTTTTACTTTCATATAACTGAATTTACAATGAACTGATCCCAGTGCTGCTATAGACACACAGTCAGTTAGGCATCAATCACCTGCTCATGTCATATCAATAAATTATGTGACAATGATGATAATGTCAGAAACAGTTAAGACAAATGTTACAGGTATAAAAGGATCATTGATGGGAATTTAACTACAGGTTAGCAAATAATAAAAAAACAAAAAAACATTGGTGCAAAATTGAATTATGATTGACATGAAAAAACTCCAAACATAAGAACTCGTTCTTATTTTCCATCAACTTCCATCAAATATGTTAAAACGTATCTAAAAGTGCACACTCAGGTTAATTCCATTGTAGTTAACAGCAGATGAGTTTTACTGCAGAAACCTTTTGGGGAACCTAATGTATTGGTAATCATTTAAAAAAGAAAAGAATCCTTCATAAGTTACTCAAATAAAGAAATCTATTCTATATTAGATAAACATTGCAACACCAAAATGGATCCGCGCCTTGTGACTAAGTACAAAAGCTGAAGCAATGAATAAGCTAAATGCACTAATGTGCAAGAGGTATTTTAATGTTGTAGTTGGCTAAATTACAGCCATCAGATACAGCAGTGGTGTAAAAAGTGCAATATGCCTGTATTGAGAAGTAAAAGTAGAAATTATTGCGAAATGTAAATTAGGGTTGTCGCGACATACATTAAAGTTAACCATAATATTTAGAATTTAAAATATTGATATAACAATAGATATGATATTGTCTTAATCCAGCACCTCTTAAATAATAATTAAATTTATAGTCTCTTTCCATCTCTTTACACACAAGTACACAAACAATGAGCAAGGTTGAAGTTAAATTTTACATTATTATCATTTTAGTTTTCAGTAGAAGTTCTATAATGTTCTGTAGATAACAGAATAATATTGTTAGCGTGAATTATAGTGAAAATGTAATATCCCGCAGCCCAAATATAATCGCTGAACCAAATGGCAGTACCAAAAATCGAAATATACTCCATTACATTTCACTTCCAAAAAAGCTTAATTGGAAATTGGACTTTCCATCGAGTTTTTATAAGAAGGCCACATTGTTAAAAATAAGCTTTTGTTGTTGGAAAGTACACGTTTTGATATACGGCTATGCTGCTGGACCTAAACACATGTTTTGTACTTTGTGGTTTATTGAATTTTGATGCATAGTCAAACCTCATGAAAAGAACTCACCAACCTGGTTTTAAGGAGTGTTTTTTTTTAGAATTTTCTGGTCAGTTATCAGTTTACAAATGGCCCTTAGCTTTAATGCTAGTGTGTAGCTTATTTACAGAAAGCAAGAATAAAGAAAGATGATTTGTTTGACTGTCTGACTACTATAAAAGTGACCTGGTGAGCATTCGGTAACCCGGCTGATCGCTCAGATTACATGTTTCTTCCGCCGTTGATGACGTTACCCCCTGGAGGGGCGATGTGGATGGAGTCCAGAATGGGTCGCAGTATCTGGCCAAACGGTCTGGAGATTAGGGAAAAAAAGATTGGAATTATTTTAGACTGAAACATAAGCCTACCAATCCACCAACCCTGTTCATCACTGCATATTAACAGACGGTTTCCAGTTTGGTTAACAGAGTTCTGTATCAAGTCTTTTCCCAGAAATGCGATTTGTGTTTTACAAATTTGAAATTTGTGCAACTTCATTTGAAATTGCACAACATCAGATTGACATGAAAACACATATGACAATAATTCATACGTTCTCAGTGTACCTGAGGGTAGAGTAGCATTATATGAACATTTTAGCTGTGAGTTTTAAGTGGAAAGACACCATTACAACAGCGACGGCTACGGCGATCGGTTGAAGACGGACTGAGTTGCAGACTCACGTGGAGAGGACTTCCGATGGAAGGTCGGTGATGTATGACGGGATGGACCTGCCCGTCATGAACTGAGCCACCTCGTTGGTGAAGGTGTTGCAGTTGTGCTCAAACAGACGGTACCTGTCACCTCTGAACGAGGCGAGAATGGAAGAGAGTTAATCCAACAGCTGACAGCTTTCCTTCATTAAGTATGGTTACACTCGTGAGTTCAGCCACGCGTAGAAAACACGCGTTGGACGGAAACTCCACCTGTATGTGTTTTCTCCCAGGGAAGAGAGATAATCCATGAAGATCTCCTCGGACACTTCTGTCTCGCCCAGCTCTACCACAGTGTCTGGAGGGCCCAGCATGGTCCCACCCTGAAGAACACACAGGCGGGAAACGCAAAAGGTTCACAACATGAGAAGAAGAGGGTTCCAATAGTTAAAAGAACATTGTGTAGGAGTTGTTTCTCTGATATGCATGAATAATTGCTAACATATAGATTAAATCAAGGGTAGGTTTATAAGGCTAGCAATTTTCTATTAGTTTGAGATTTTATTTATTTTAATATTTATTTTGTTCTGTATCTTTCAAGTGGATTATCCCACTAAGAAGTATTGTCTGTGTAACCAAAGCAATAAGCCAAACTGCCACACTGAGTGACAGAATTACAATTAATGAAGGAATTAATCCTTTAGTAGCTGAAGTTTACTACTCAATGCCACATACTTATTCACTCAGAAACCAAATGTTAATCCACACCCAGTTTGATAAAAAACTACACTGCCCGACTGGTTAGGAAATTACCATTTGATGAACAGGAGTAAAATAACAAAAGAAAAATAAGTGTTGATTGGCAATAATCCATTTAAGGTTTGTCTTTTGTGGATATTTGTAGGCAGAAACCACAATGAATTAACGCTATTGTTTTACTAGGCTGTATGTGGTTGTACTTGGTCAATATACCTGTACTGCATTGTGCAGGCCTACCTGTATGGTGGTAGGGAGATTGCTTTAGATAAAACCATTAAACACTTGAATGTTTGAGCTTAAAGTCCAGAAGAAAACGTATATTAACGCTCATTAGTCCCTACCCGTCCTAAACGTGTACAAAAAGTTAATTCCCTTGTTACTGACTCACCGGCGGACAGCTGGAGATCCCCTCCCCTCCGAAGAAGAACTCCTCTCCGTATGCCACTATGGCTGTGTGCCTGGTGAAAAAGCACGAAACGAACACAGGACTAAATACAGATCAGTTCAACTTTAAGCTTCAGATCTAAATGAGAGCATCATCAGACATATATGGATCTTAACGCATATCTGCTCTGGGATCAAAGAGCGGGTTATTGGTGTGTGGATCCACCCATTACATGAGAAGAACATCTTTTGGGGATTTCTGATCGGAAGCCGGCTGTCATAGTAAGAGAAAGAAGAAGCGTACCATATACCATCCAGTTGCTTTCCTGTAACAAAGAGGGAAAAGGTAGTGAGGTAGATGATCCTCCCTGCAAGCAGCTCCGTGGAGCTGTAGATTACAAGAGTGGAGTTTGACCCTGATGATTTATGTTTAGTCGACTAAACATAAATCACTCACGCTTTGAAATATATTTTCAAAATAAATGTATTGATAATAACTAACGTTGGACATTGAGAAGTCAAACAAAGACCGCTACACCGCATAAAATCAACGTAACTATTCAAGCCATACAAATCATCTCTATGTGTTCTTATCACTTGTTAGTCCCCAAAGGCCCGGCTGCATCGGATTGTGTCTCTGTATACTTACCTAACATGATGGGGCTGAGGTTGCGAGCCATTCCTTTCGATAAATCATAAATATATAGTTGGACATTGTATCGCGTGACATTGTTATCCATAGTGTAAACCTACAAATATCCGTTTTATTATTATGTATCTTTATCTTCGCTTGCCACGAAACGAACTGGCACAACTGACAGTGAGGTTTTCTGAATTATGTCATCGCGTTTAAGACGATGTGAAGCACTTCCCATTCCCCCGCTTTCAAAATAAAGCTTTCTTAAGAGGCGTCCTCAGAGACACATTGCAAGCTTTAACGGAACTAGTTTTATTTTGAAATCAAGTTGTATATTTTCCGGTTTCACCCTTGCCCCTTGGAAATGACTTAACATTTAAATTGTAGATGGCCGCGGTGTTTGATGCATTGTATCCCACAACCAACGCTCTTGTGACGAGGAAATAAGCGAACTCAGTGTTCTTTCCCTCCGGTTAAGACAGAAAAGGCCTTACAAAACGTATTTCTTTCAAACAGAGACTGCTGTCTCGGTTTTAAAATAGCATGGCGTATTGAACAGCTAGCGGGTGTAACAGAATGGGGGACACCCACACGACCCCGTATATGCTGTTAACCTCCGATGAACACAGGAGGGCGCTGAACACAGTTTATTTTATTCGACGGTACACATTCCGAAGCACAGGGGGCGATAACGCACGATGAGCTGGTGTTGGCAACCATCGCTAATAATCCAACGAAGAAGAAGGAGACTTTGCAGCAGACACCCCACTACGAGACCAAAATAGACAGTAGAGGGCTGAGCAGCTGGCACAAACCAGAAATGGCTTCCACCGGAGTTCTTCCCTTCATCAGGGGGGTAGACCTCAGTGGTAACGACTTCAAAGTAAGGCTCTTAAAGACAAATGTGTTGTTGTTGTTTTTTAAAGCCATTGGTGTTGAATAACTAACACGTTTAGCTAGCTAACGTTAGCTCAAGACAAATGGCTAACGGGTGCGCTTGTTAAAATGACTTGCTTAGCCTAACGTTGCTAGCATTGGGCGTTAGCCAGTTGTCAGATTTGTGACATATAATAACGTCACAAAATACCCGCCCGGTTTCTGCCACAAGCGTCCTGTGGTTTACATATTTCTGTTAAGAGAATGGTCTATTTAAGGTAACATAACGCTACTTCTGTACTTTGCGAGCGGGTAGATACTTCTAGGTAAGTTTGTGATAACACAGCTCCCGTTTCCAACGTCACGAAAGCGAGCTAATCTAACGTTAGCTTTAATGTCGGCTAACCCGCCGTCTGGATCAGAAGCTAACCTGCCTGTCGTCTTTATCAGCGTTATCGGACGATAACGTCAGCCAACGTGTTCAGAGCTCTTTTGACTCAGTGTCGTCATAGTTGTAGGTTTGGCCACAATTCGCGTGCTCAGCTTGGTAGACAGACGAGGGAGTAAAGGTTTGGATCATCTGGCATATGTTTGAAACATTTAAAACCTCCCCATGTTAAGTACCTTCTATGTACCGTTCTAAGCACCGTTAATACGTACATGTTGTATGAATCATGTATTTGTATCTATCTGTTCGTGAATGGCTTTTAAATTCAGGAAGTGTAAAATACCATAAGTTCCTCACACAAGTTGCGCCCATGATAACATCAACTGTCCGCTTTCTCATCTTGGCTGTAGAAGATAACAGATCCCATAAAGATAATGAAAATAAGAAGGGTGATGTCATGTTCTCATTTTGTATGAAGAGTCCATTGTTCTCATGCATCCGGATAATGATAAGCTCCTTCACAGTTGGACATTACGAAGACTTATCATCCATAAATACAGTCCATACCGGTGTTTCTGACGTCAGCCGTCATTCTTGCTCCTCTTCATGTCCGTTTCCGTTCCTCTCAGGGCGGCTACTTCCCAGAGCATGTCAAGTGTATGAGCAGTCTGCGATGGCTGAAGCTGAACCGGACCGGGCTGTGTTACCTCCCGGAGGAGCTGGCCTCTCTGCAGAAGCTGGTGAAGCATTTGTCGCATCGGCTTATCCGCACATCTCTAAATATATAAAGTCATTGACTGATATATTCTTGATATGTATTTTAGTCACAGTGTTGTGTATGTTATCTGTCAAAGGTTAGTTTAATTGTACTGTAGATGTTTTTGGCTCGATCTATATTTATCCGGTTTGATGGGCTATTTATTACGATATTATTTTTAAAATACCCTTTTTACTTGATGTCAGGGCAACAAAGGCAATCACATCAGCAGATTGGTGCATTTTAGTAGCAAAACCTTCTCCCAACTTTAAGAACACTCAGCCATAATTTAATCCCCAGTATCTTTGATATGATTATCTTATCTTAATCACCAAAGCTGCAATCAACAGCCCAAAGCCCAAAGAAGCTAATCCATGCTTACATGCTTGATATTACCAGGTGTAGGTAAACAAGATTAGTCTGTTATCATGGCTAGGAGTCCCAGCGTCTGCGGTATTGTTTATATATATATATTTGATCCTGTTCTTAAATCATTTTATTTGGAGACAACGGCGACGTTTGTTGCGCAGCGGTGACCGGGTCACCGTGCAGAACGTTTCCATGCTTTGGTTGTTTTTGTAGTGCACTCTCGGGTCTGTAAACAAAACTTCTGCTTATTGTTTTTTTTAGGAGCATCTTTCAGTGAGTCACAACAGCCTGACCACTTTGCATGGAGAACTGTCCAGCCTACCAAACCTTCGGGTAACTAACACCAACACATGCAGCGAAAAATATGCATTAAGCACTTGCTGATTTCTTCCACTAGCTATAAAAAAAGCACTGCCAATCTTTGACTATGGCCTGTTTCTACTTGTACCAATTTGTAGGTTTGATCGAGTCCTAAATGTCTTTCTCTATGTGCAGGCGGTCGTAGCCAGAGCTAACAACCTGAAAAACTCCGGTGTGCCTGATGACATCTTTCAGCTGGATGACCTCTCTGTGCTGGTACATAATAATATCTCACAGTCCCCCCCTCTCTGCTCATCAAACACTTCCAACATCACTCTTCCTTTCCCTTATTTCTGGTCCACTAGCATAACTTTACACACATTACATTCCCTCTTTGTCAATTAATGACAAAAATAATCCCATTTCCTTCAGGATCTGAGTTACAATCAGTTGACAGAGATCCCCAGAGACCTTGAGAACAGCAGGAACATGCTGGTGCTGAATCTGAGTCACAACAACATCGACTCCATCCCCAACCAGCTGTTTATCAACCTGACCGACCTGCTGTATCTGGACTTGAGCGACAACAAGCTGGACAGCCTGCCCCCGCAGATGAGACGCCTGGTTCATCTGCAGACACTCACACTGAACAACAACCCCTTGATGCATGCGCAATTGCGGTGAGGCGAAATGTATTTCGTTTTATTTGGGTCACTGCTGTCCCTTAGCCTAAATTCGTAGGCCCCATTTTAGGTGCACATCTTTAGTGGTAAATGTATTTAGAAAACAGAAATATGCATTTGGTTAACGCTGCTCTTCTTAAACTGTTTGTCTGAGCAGCCAGCTGCCAGCCATGGTAGCATTACAGACTCTCCACCTGAGGAACACACAGAGGACCCAGAGCAACATGCCAACCAGTCTAGAGGCTCTGACACATCTAGCAGGTATCACACACTCACGCCACTCTCTTGTTTCCTTCACTTGTTTACGGACTTGTCCTTTTTTTGTGGGAAACGTAGCGTTTACGAGCACGTGTTCCCTCTGTTCCTCCCGTCTCCCCCAGATGTTGACCTGTCATGTAACGACCTGACTCGGTTGCCGGAGTGCCTCTATTCATTGAGCAGTTTGAAGAGACTCAACCTGAGCAGCAATCAAATCTCAGAATTGTCCCTCTGCATCGACCAGTGGACTCAACTGGAGACTCTTAACCTGAGCCGCAACCAGCTCACCTCCCTCCCTGTAAGGACAATAACAATTATACACTTCTCTAGAAGCCGTGTGGCTTTCACTACCAGTGAATAAAAAGCTGTGTAGATCGTCAAAAAAATAGTCAATTTAATTGTTTATGTCTGCGTGTATGTCTTCTTCCAGTCTGCAATATGTAAGCTGGCCAAACTGAAGAAGCTGTACATAAACTCCAACAAACTGGACTTTGATGGAGTTCCGCCAGGCGTTGGCAAACTGTCCAGTCTCACCGAGTTCATGGCCGCCAACAACAACCTGGAACTAATCCCAGAGGGACTCTGCAGGTGAGTTCAACACAAAGTTTGCGTTTCTGTGATTAATGAACCACCAGTTGAATAATGCTTCCTTCTGCATTGTTTTACTGATATTTTTTATAAAATTGACTGACACAATTCAATTTAATATTAATAATATCTGAATTTGAATGTGTTTTGCTAAAAGGCTAAGTTTTTATTAAGACCCATTCAGTTAAATTCATAAGCAAAATTGAATATAGTCGTGTGACTGAATATTTGTGTGTTGTCCAGGTGCGGCAAGCTGAAGAAGCTGGTGCTGAATAAAAACCGCCTGGTCACGCTGCCTGAGGCCATCCACTTCCTGACTGATTTGGAGGTACAGTACTAAAGGCACCTGTAAAGTGGTCAAATAATACGGTACCTGAACAGCATTTATGTTGCTCAAATGATTTATTGTGGATTTAATTACTTACTAAATAAATATTCAGACATAAATATGATACAATTAGATTAAATGTAATATATATATTTTTTTTTTAATCAACACTGTATACTGTAATTCAGATACAATAATGAATACAAAACATTTACCACTCATGACACAGTACATATCAATTCTTTAGGAATTGACAAGAAATTATATCCTGGTCCTGTATTTGGCAACATAACATAGTGGCCCTGCAATGTCGTCTAAAACATTTATTTAATTGAATATTACCTCCACTAACTGTTAATTGTTTGAAGAGAAGATTAAAAGAAAAATTGAACTATTCGTATATTTCTCTGTAGATTCTGGATGTGCGGGAGAACCCGAACCTGGTGATGCCCCCTAAACCAGTGGACAGGGCAGCCGAGTGGTACAACATTGACTTCTCCCTGCAGAACCAGCTGCGGCTTGCTGGAGCCTCACCTGCTACTGTAGCAGCTGCTGGAGGAGGTACGTGTGTATACACAATATGACTGAATATGAATGCGTACAGTGTCGGTGCCTTTTTTCTCCCTATTCCTTATTTTTTCTTAATGGCTTGAATCTCTATGTGTGTACATGTGTCCAGGAGCCAGCCCACGAGATCCCCAGGCGAGGAAGATGAGACTGAGGAGGAGGAAGGACAGTTCTCAGGACGACCAGGCGAAGCAGGTGCTGAAGGGCATGAGTGACGTTGCACAGGGCAAGAACATGGAGGTAAGCGAAAAGATAAAGGAGGATTTTGACAAAGCCCAAAGGAAGAAAACCAAACACAATAGGATTCATTTACATTTTATCTACAAAGAAATCTGCTAATTTTGCAGGAGAGCGAGGATTCGAAATATGGAGATTTAAAGGTCCGGCGCTGGGACAAGAGCCTAGAGAAACCTCAACTGGACTACTCTGAGTTCTATATGGAGGATGTGGGGCAGGTAATCTGTCGGAATTTGCCAAATTGCTCTTTGCATTGTACGGATACCAGCGTACGTATGGTCACTGTTTCCGCGTCCTACAGGTTCCAGGTGTAACAGTGTGGCAGATAGAGAACTTTGTTCCGATGCAAGTGGACGACGCTTTCCAGGGCAAGTTCTATGAGGCCGATTGCTACATCATCCTCAAGGTAACGATGAACTGAACTTGATCTCAGTAGATTGTACGGACCGCCATTACTTTGGTTGTCATTATACACGTTGGAATAATCCAACAAGACGGATCCTTCTTAGCAACATCTGTGCGTTTTCATGGGCTGTGGGTCCCAAGACTTCTCTCCCCTTGCTTTTTGCAGACTTTCCTGGATGACAACGGCGCGTTGAACTGGGATATCTATTACTGGATCGGCCAGGAAGCCACGCTCGACAAGAAAGCGGGCTCTGCCATCCACGCCGTCAACCTCCGAAACTTCCTAGGAGCGGAATGCCGGACGATACGGGAGGAGATGGGAGACGAGAGCGAGGAGTTCAGTGCTGTATGTATAAATATACCCGGCAAGCAGCGCTATACAATAATAACTAACTACCAAGAAACTCCTGATCAATTCAAGTTCAGCATCAATGCTTCATAGTTAAACATTAACTATATAAATCCTTATTTTCTTTCATTGGAAACGGTCCATCTACATCCGTGTGAATGAAATGTTTTTTGGCTCGTGAGCAGGTGTTCAACAATGAGATCTCCTACATCGAGGGAGGAACAGCCAGCGGGTTCTACACCGTGGAGGATACAAACTATTCTGTCAGGTGAGCTGTAAGGGATTCTAGTCAGAATTATTTCAAGTTTCAAGTTTTCTCAAATGTATAATATACGTCTTCTTTGGCTTCCAATTACTGCAATCTTGTCAGAAACTTGTTTGCAACAATCAAGTTTGTGTGTCTGCGTTAATATCAGCTTTCACATGAATGAGATGTCGTTTGTCTGCAAATATATCAGGTTTTAATCACTTTATGTGTCCATCAGGTTGTACAGAGTTTACGGCAAGAAAAACATCCGACTGGAGTCGGTCCCAGTGAAGGCCTCCTCCCTCGACCCGCGGTAACTCTCCCACTCCCCTTTTTACACCACACGACGTACATGTGTATAGTTTACCACGAAGTCCCTGCTTTGCAATATTTTGCGTCCTTCCTCTGTACGCAATCACAGAATTTGTGGTTTACGTCCTGTCTTTCTTTTTGCAGGTATGTCTTCCTGTCGGACACGGGGCTGGACATCTTTATCTGGAGAGGAGCCAACGCCACTCTGAGCAGCACCACTAAGGCCAGGTAGGACAAAACTCCATAAGCAACCCCGACTTATTGGGTTCCATGTAAAGGTTACACTTTAACAAGAGAAGCGCGCATTGCGCGGATGCTGACTGTGTGTGGACTGTTTGTTTGTCTTTCAGGTTATTTGCAGAAAAGATCAATAAGAATGAGCGTAAGGGAAAGGCGGAGATCACCACCCTCCTGCAGAGCCAGGAGCCTCCGCCTTTCTGGGAGGTACTGGGAGGACAACCAGAGGAGATCAAGAAGCACGTACCAGATGACTTCACCCCCGTTAGGCCTAAACTATACAAGGCAAGTCTTGTGAACCCACATAATAAAGCAGCACTAATTGCTCAGTGAGAGCGTCGATGTTTTAGGATTCACTGTTGAGCTTTTTGCTTTGCCGTCTATTGAAGTCACGTGTGTTTTGTGGACGGCCCACGATGTGCCGTATGTGGGATCGGCCCAAATACCAAAAACGGGTGTAGTGATCCTTCGTTTGGCTAATTACACACACACACACACACACACACACACTCTCTCACAGACACACACAAACATCCCTGTCACAGACACTACAGTAACTGGAAACTCCCCCTGACTCATTTGTCTGAAAAACAGACTAAACTCACAGTAAACTGGTAGAATCTGTAGGTTTTAGGGTTATGTTTTGTTCTTCTTTTATTGTTATGTCTGGGTGAATTTAAGCAAGCTTTTTAACTGAACTCAATTGAAATGATCCAGTGGTGGAACCAGACGGGAATATTCTCCTGTTTTGGCAATTTATTGAATTGGGAATTAGGGGCTGAATTTGGGGAAAGAGAGCATTTTTCTTTGGTACTTTTTTAATCTGCACGGTTAATACACCTCATTCCATCACTAAGCATTTATTGTGATGTTTTCATTGTACTTTATTATACATGTACATTATACTTTTTGTTGTTTTTGTAATGTAATTAACAGAGTTGAAAACAGACCTTTATTGTTTTAGACCTATGCTCAAGTTATTCGGAAGCAAAGTGTCTGTGCGACACGCGGACAGGAGCATGCTGCTAATCCTGAACCCAATTCTCTGCTTTCCCTTATCGTTGTCCTGTAGGTGGGCTTGGGTCTGGGCTACCTGGAGCTGCCGCAGATTAACTACAAGCTGTCGGTCGAGCACAAAGACCACAAGATCAAACTGGACACTTCGCCCGAGATGAGACTGGTCCGTCCATCAGCCAAATATTCACTGGAACGTAAACGCCACCGAATGTATTTCTCCCAACCTCACTTTTTCCATCTGTCTTTAGGTGCAAACTCTGCTGGACACCAAGTGCGTGTACATCCTGGACTGCTGGTCCGATGTGTTCATCTGGATCGGGAGGAAGTCTCCACGTCTCGTCCGAGCCGCGGCCTTAAAACTGGGTCAGGAGATCTGCTCCATGTTGCACCGGCCCAAACACGCGTGCGTCACCCGTAACCTGGAGGGCACCGAGTGCCAGGTAATACAGCACCACCTCAAATGCTTCAGGAATGTTTGACAATCCTGGTGTGATGAAAATACAGGAGGGGGACCAGGAACCGAATGCATATGGTTATCGTTGTTATTGTTATTATGTCAATTCCAGTACAATGGTAAATCCATCGGTGAAAGGCTGTTCTTAAGTTTACCTCACATTCGGCATGTGGTAATGATTTAATGTTAGTTGCTCTTCTTCCTTTTCCACAGGTGTTTAAATCCAAGTTTAAGAACTGGGATGATGTGCTGAAGGTGGATTACACCAGAGCAGCCGAGACGGTGCATAAGAACGACAACCTACAGGGCAAGGTCAGTGTGCTGTAGGTGTGTGTGTGTGTCAGTTTGGCTATTCAATGAGTCACTCAGTGGCCACCAGTGACTCATAGAATAGTAATTTCAAATATACACTGACCAGGAACCCAAGAGGTGTGTGTGCGTTGCAACCCAGATTGAGCTGCTTGTGTGTGAGTGTTTCTCACTCTTCATACGTGCAATCGGTCCCTCTCAGGTGAAGAAGGACGCAGAGAAGAAGGACCAGATGAAAGCTGACCTCACAGCGCTCTTCCTTCCCAGGCAGCCAGCCATGCCCCTTGCTGAGGTAACAACCCACGCCGCGTTTCTGTTTTCCTTTTTTGTTCTCATGATTGACCTTCACTTCATGCACATTCATCTTGTGTGTGTGCAGGCTGAACAACTGATGGAGGAATGGAACGAGGATCTGGATGGCATGGAAGGATTTGTGTTGGAGGGAAAGAAGTTTGCTCGCCTGCCTGAGGAGGAGTTTGGCCACTTCCACACCCAGGACTGCTACGTCTTCCTCTGCAGGTAGGGAGGTGCATGCTCCATGCCTGCACAGGGCTTTAATGTGACGCCATCACAAGATGGTCTCTTTTTATTTGTATTTTCATTATAGGTTTTGTAAAATGTAAAACGTAAAATTGCGTATTCAGGGTCCAGCCCTGTCAATAAAAAAAGGATTTACATTTGCCCTCACAGACACTGCTCCACCGACTTGAAACTGCACATTTTCTGGCATTGATCTGACTGCTTGTGTAGGTACTGGGTGCCTGTGGAGTACGACGACGAGGAGAAGGAGAAGAAAGAGGGCAGCGGCGGAGTTGAAGGACGAAGATCAACAGCAGAGGACGACGACGACAAACAGCCCGAGGAGGACTTTCAGTGTGTCGTTTATTTCTGGCAAGGCAGGCAGGCCTCCAACATGGGCTGGCTCACCTTCACTTTCTCCCTGCAGAAGAAGTTTGAGAGTCTCTTCCCTGGAAAACTGAAGGTATCTGGATAGAATTGTATGCATTTCTTTTTTTTGGATACAGTTATTTTCTGCTGAGTTGATAACGCTGAACCTTTCTTGCCGTTCAGGTGGTGCGTATGACCCAGCAGCAGGAAAACCTCAAGTTCCTGTCCCACTTCAAGAGGAAGTTCATCATCCACAAAGGGAAGAGGAAACAGAAGACGGATTCTGCGCAGCCCTCGCTGTACCACATACGCACCAATGGCAGCGCACTTTGCAGCAGGTAGACGCGTTGATATTCTAACCATCATCCACCATCTTCTAATTCATCAGATTGGCGCACGCCATCACTGTCCCTCTGGTTGTCGGGTTCCCAGAGGAAGAGCTTTTCTTTTCTTTAATTTTCATATTGTTTTTATTCTTTAGGACCATCCAGATTGGAACAGATTCCTGCAATCTCAACTCAGAGTTTTGCTTCATTCTCAAGGTTGTGATTTCTTCCGTTTTTATGCGTCACATTTAAATCGCAATATAACTGTAATGCTGCCTCGTTCCACCAGAGACGTCTCCTCCTACTTTTACAGTCCAATAAAGACCAAAAATGTCTGCCAGGTCGGGGATTAACTGTTGTAGTTTTTCTGCAGGTCCCGTTTGAGAGCACAGACAATCAGGGCATCGTTTACACCTGGGTGGGCCGAGCCGCCGACCCCGACGAAGCCAAACTTGCCGAGGACATCATGAACTGCATGTTTGATGAAACGTACAGCAAACAGGTACATGCAAATGTGTGAGAAATTAGATTAAGATACACTGACCTCTCTGTAAAGTCAGTAGACGAACTCTTTATCTTCTGTGCAGTTTCCCCTCTGTATTTTTACGTTAATGTGTCTCAGGTCTGCCGTGAGAGAATATTTCGTCAGATTTCAATAAGCGTGTCTCGTAGGTCATCAATGAGGGAGAGGAGCCAGAGAACTTCTTCTGGGTGGGGATTGGCTCTCAGAAGCCGTACGATGAAGATGCAGATTATATGAAACACGCGCGGCTTTTCAGGTGGGTGAACATTATTATTAGTGTTAAAAGATTTAGTATTCATAATTAGAAGTTTGCCTAGAAGGACAAATTAAAATGATTACTGATACTAACTTCTATTCTCAACGTTCCCTCTCTATCTCTTATACCCCCCCTCTCTCCCCCCAGGTGTTCAAATGAGAAGGGTTACTTTTCAGTGTCGGAGAAGTGCTCCGACTTCTGTCAGGACGACCTGGCCGATGATGATATCATGTTGCTGGACAACGGCCAGGAGGTAACAATCCGTCTGACTGCCGGCGCTCTAGTTGCTTTCATTACATCCTTTCAAGGGCTCACGATGTTTTTAACACATACTTTTCCTTATTTCCTGGCCTCCCGTCAGGTGTACATGTGGGTCGGTACTCAGACCAGTCAGGTGGAGATCAAACTCAGCCTCAAAGCCTGCCAGGTCAGTGAGGAGCTGCAGTCTGTTTGCATGTCGTCAGTAATTGTCCCGGAGTGGTGCATCTTACCAACGCTCTCCTCCTTTAGGTTTACATCCAGCACATGCGCGCCAAGGACACCGAACACCCCAGGAAGCTGAGACTGGTGCGAAAGGGGAACGAGCCCCACTGCTTCAATCGCTGCTTCCACGCCTGGGGGGCGTTCAAAACCCCCCCTGCATAGACAAAACATGCACACGCAAGTCTCATACATGTGTATCCGCTGGCAAGCCATTTTCCACCAGGAGGAGGAGGAGGATGATGATGATGATGTATATGCCCAATTCCTGCTCAGCGCTGCTTTTTAACAGCCTCTCAACCGACGGGTTAAAATCCGAGTCCGCCTACAAAAAAAACAAACCGCTCAAGTTTAGCACGATGTCGCAATCAGTGAAAACTGCTGTTGTTTCCTTTCTCAAAAATATCACTCTTTTTCTACAAGCTTTGTAAGCCGCTCGTCTGACGGCTGTTGTAAAATGAAAGAAGAGAACTATGTTTTGAGATAAATAAAAATGTTTACGCTGCACAGAGGCTTTAAAGACACTCGAGGGAGCTGAATGCCCCGAACACATGAATCTTTGCTGCTGCTTTCACTGGGCTTGTGCTGCATGATCAATATTATCCCGTGGAGGAGGGGCTAGAAGGGAACTTTGGTATCCAAAACATGGACCCTGTTTTCCCCGACACGGTTCCCGTACTGATGGAACGTGCTGTAGACGTCGGGCGCTCACAGGCCGCAGTTGGTCTGAACTCTGTCCTGATCAGTTAGAGCAGTATTGCCGGATCAATTTGGGGAAAAAGTTGGTCCTATTAGTCACTTAGACCCCCCCCCCCCAAATGACCCTGTGTGCTGGTTACTGCTTATGCTGCTCATTTTTAAGAAAGTTTGAAGCAAGTTGATTTTACAGCTTTTGGGTTCTTCCTTTTTTAATATATATATAATTTAGGGACTAAACAGCACTATAATTAGTTTCCTGAAGAATGTCAGTTTATACATATATTTTCCTGGCGTGCGGCTTGTACATCGGTTGGTGTCTTTACGCTGTGCGCCTTCCGAGAAAGAGGCTTGGCCCTTTTCCCAGAGCCGGATTGGTCCCCGTTCTGACCTCGTCCAACTGGTCCGCGGTTAAGATGATCTGGAGCAGATGTGCTGGTTCCAGTTCTAGTGAGCCGTGTTAGAACATGCAATGGGTGGAGTCAACACGAGACCGGGACTGTATTCAAGTTGTCGACTTTGTAATTTCCTTCGTTGCTGAAAGGGAGAGCGCAGAGACTGCTGAATTTCATGGGAGTTCTTATGTTCCATATGAGAGATATATCTTAGCAAAAATAGTGACTTCTGGTTCCACTGATCTCAAATCTGTCATTTGATTGTATGTTTAGACAACTACTTCTAGATCAGTGCCTCCAGGGTCAACTTTTAAGTACAGAACCGCTGCTTATCACGTGACCTTTGTAGTGTTCAAGCAAGATCCGTCAACGGTTCTCAAATGGCTCCATCAACCGTCATTTGGTTCTTTCATACTTGAAATGCACATGCACACGTCTGATGGTGTGTTTGAGTCCGATACATAGTGTGTGTGTCTATGCATATGTGCACATGCTCCTGATGCCGCCTGCAGATGCTTTATGTATTTTGTATTCAAATAAAATGTCACAATACATATTTAGTCAACCTGTCGTCTCATTGCTCCTCCTCACCGGTACGTCTGCCGTATTAGGTGTTCAGATGTTAATTGAAGCTCTTATTTAAAGTGATGACCAAACGCAAGCAAAAATAACAACCCAGCTCTGCTCACTGGCTGAGGGACACTTTCCTTTCCTTCCAGATATCGGTCTGTCTGGGACCAGCAGCTCACTGCCGTTGGCAATCTATTTCTGAGCCGTCACTTTTTTCTAATGTGACTTTTATGACACCATGTTTTGTAATCCTTTATTGTTGTGATGTCTGTGTGAGTTTCCTCCCACCAAAATTCAATACTATATCTGTTATGAGTAGATTACTCATATTTGATGGCATGACTTTATTGACTGATCTTTTCTTAGTCTACCTTTTTTCTAGAAAATGATGGTGATTGATGGCTTGGACATACTTCGCATGCAATACTATGAATTTGTCTGACTTCTCCCCTTTTTTTACATACAATTTTTTTTTTTTTTTTAAATAGACTATCTTTTTTTCCAACATGCTGTTTTGACATTTATACAAGACTGCTACATCTTTTCAAACATGCTTTTTTTTTTACATAATAGTAAATTACACTTATTTGCAAACATTTTATTGAATAAGATTTGCACATCAAACGTATCAAAACCAGTTACAGCGAAGAAGATACTGTGAAAATGACCCCAGCAAAGTGACCACAGATCATTCAGAGCAACTGATTCTTCTTGCAGCAGCAAGCAGCAACATTCTGTTTAAAGTAGGACCTGCTCTTTTTTTCCTTCCTAAAACTCCCAGCAAACTAACATTGCACATTTTATCTACTACATCACATTAATATGGATTCAGCTGTTTATTCAATTGCATTAAATAATATTTGCTGCTACAGCTTTCCCCTCAATATCACTTAATATAATTAAAGAGCAATAAAAACACATGTTTGCGGTTGAATAAATCTCAGTGGCATTTGCCACTACATGAAACCAGGCTGACCAGCACTTAAAAGCAACACCAAACCTTTATATACTAACAATTATAGATATAAATACCTAATTTAGATGTAAACATGTTTCCCTATTAAAGTAGTAAAACATCTACGTATGGAAGGATATCCAATGTTTCTGTTAAACGTTCAGCAGTGGGGTCAACTACATGAAATACAAATATTAGTTTCAATATCACTTTTGAAAAAGAAACTGAGGCCTCATTGAAGGACAAAATACGCTACTGAGCGGCTTCAAAAAGGAAATGCAGGAAATATTCTGAACACATTCACGTGGAAAAGAAAAACACCTGCTGTGAGCTGGGGCACAATGAACAGCCAACAGGTCGAGTTATCAGATATCATACGACTCGGGACTTTAGTTTCCAAATTGAATGAAGACGTCCCCATATGTCAAACAGCAGAGGAGGAAGAAAGAACTGAAACTTTGACGCAAGTGTTCTTCACATTCTTTATGGGAGAGAGTCTGTCTGACAACAGCATGAATGACACAAATTTAAATTGGTGAACCTGTTATGAAATAAATCTATAGGATTACAGCAGAGCAATAATAAACATTAATAAAAAGAGATGTTATTTAGCCATTCCAACTATTCCGGTGGAATGCCGTTCCATGGTGTCCTTGTCGACGTGGCTCAGCCAGCTAGAAGTAGAGTCATATTTGGTCCCATGTTAAATAGCCCTGTGTTGTATAAAAGATTGTGTGTAACGTGTTGATAATAATTAACAAGTATCCTTGTTAATTATGGATGCACATAATAAAAAGACTGCAACATGGGTGAATAATGCTGGTTAATAGTAACGTCGGACTGTTTGACGTTTGTTGTTGTAGTTTCTATTGCTCAGCCTACAAAAGGAAACGTCTGGATGATCGAGGCTTAAAAAGGAAAAGGAGGAAAGAGTAGAAATGAAAGAATTCTTCACAGTGATAATCTGATGTCAATTAGAATCAGGGCTGCTGGAATCCTCACACGATCAAAGCTCATCACATGAACACCGCCCACGGAGTTGCACTCCTCGGTACACACACACACACACACACACAAATTACTGTGGTTTACCCAGCAGGCTGAACAGGAAGTTGGGCCCCTGGCCGTCACCCTGTCTCGTGCTTCCCCCTCCGAGGGGATCCATCTGGTTCAGTTCAGACTGATCGAGCATCTCAAAGTCCTCTCCGTCCAAGTCCGTGTCCAGCTCAGAACTGGACTGCTTGCGGTAGCTGCGGTGGGCCCCGGCCCTGGGGGGGCCTTCCCTGCGCTGGCTGCGAGGAGGACGAGGTTGCATCGCCCCGACCAGCGCCGCCTGGATCATGTTGCTGGCGAGGACTCCGGCCAAGTCTCCGGCGAAATCCGAGGCGGGTGGCAGGCCACTGAGGGACAGTTCTGCATCCAGATCCTCCTGATCTGAGTCCAGATGGCCGTCCACGTCCAGCACCGAGGCTCGGTGGCTAGCCAGCCCAGACAGACCCAGACTCGGCAGGCCGATGCTGGTGTCGTCGTCGTCGTCGTCCATCAGGGTGGCGTCGGGGTTTATGGAGGGGAAGCCCTGGAGGTCTCGAGCAAACGATTCCTCAGCGTCACTGTGCCGGTCCAGATCTGACCCAGAAACAGAGACACAGTCAGGGACGACCACAAACCGGGAGGGGAGTAATCGGGAATAGCCAGGCGCCTACCCTCAGAGCCCTCTGTGAGCGGGGTCTGTCCTCGCGATAGGTTAAATGTCCCATTATCAGTGTAGGACACCTCGGCATCGGAGTGCTCCGAGTCGGTCAGAGAAAGTTCTTTAGCATTCAGAGCGTCATCAAACTAGGAGACACAAGATTGGACAGGTTGCATGTTTTATACAGCTGTTATTTACATTTTTGGAGAAAGAATATATTTTGGGGCATCGTAACATGTTCCTTAATATAAATATTAACAGAATAACTAGTGGATTAGAGAAAACCTCAAGCGACTTACTGAGGGGCAGAAAGCAGCCAGCTCTTCCTCGCTATCACTGTCTTCCCCCGAGGCCAGACCCCGGAGAGGCCTCCTCAGGACTGCACAGAGGAACGACGACGTGTTTTCATTTGATCACAAACGGTGCCACGTAAATCGGTTCAACAAGTGAAAACAAAAAGGTTTTGTGCCACTAAACAAAGAGACTTAGCAAAGGGCATTAACAATATGTCAATAAAGTGAAACTGGACGGGCAGCCTGAAGGTATCTAACGCAGTAAGATGCTTAACATGGTGAGTGGTTCTTCAATGAAAGACTTACGCTCTTAACAACAACAAGATCCAAAATCCAAGGGAAAGTTTTATTTACGTAACGGAAAAAAAATACAAACAGTAGTTTTGGGTTTTGCATTAAAAAGAAAATACTTACACTGATTATCAATCGGCTTTGACATCATGTAGCCGCAAACACTGAAGTCCAGTCTCTGCAGGACTGGATCCAGCTTGATGCACACATGCTGGAAAAGCCTATGATAGGCTCCCAGAGGAGCCAGCAGAGTAGCCCACACTGAGAGAGGAAAGCATACACGTCATCATCAAACAAGAAGGACTTCTGCTGGGGTTGTTTCCCACAAAAATGGTATCCTAAGAGCTGTGCTTGTTAACGTTTATGCAGATTGCTAGATTACGGTCAGCACTTCAGACACGGCTGTGTGAGCGCCAAGAGTTCCACACGTAGAGCAGCTGTTGATTGGTTCAGACGTCAGAGTAGAAGGCTTTGGCAGCTCCAGTCTACACTGATTAGAGGTTAGGAGATTAGACGTCTCGGTCTGACCTCTTTAGCTTTCTGTCTGGTTACATTTCCTCCTTCCTTCCCTCCCTCCCTCCCTCCTTCCTTCCGTGCCTCATCACAGCTTTAATCACCGGTACACAGGTCCGGCCCTGGTACTGGGGCTCCAAGGATCTGGTTTCGCCGGCCATGTATTTTTTAATAGGATCAGTCACGCTGCGTTTCCATGCCAACGGGGGCCTGTGGAGCAGCCTGGATCTGTAGTGTGAACTGCTGGGGACTCACCAGCAGAGTAGGACAGCACCAAGCCAGGAACGTAAATTCCAACCCCAGCCAAGCAGGTGAATCCGCCACAGGTCAGGATGCAGAACTGAGACAGAGCAACAACACACAGACTACAGGTCAACTATGGTACATACGGTCCCATCTACGGCCGTCCAACGGGGCTGGACAGCACCCTGAGCTTCACAAATTCATTCATTATCACCACCATACCTAGAAACATAGTCTTGGATGAATTGTGGTGAACAGTGTAAGGATAATAAAAATCATGTTTTCAAACTAATACTATAGCAAATATAACAAATACTTGAGATTTTGCATTAAACACATTAAATATAAAAGATGTGTTACCGTACCAAATACAGATAATATGACACATATTGATATAGGAGTTTTGTTCTTCCTGCTGTGTGTACGCAGTCCTCACCTTGCCAGGGTTGTGTTGCTTGTACTGCTGCACACTGGATGCAAGAACTGCTGCACTGACCCAGGCCTCAGCAATGTGGTGGCACAGTTCAGGCACGCTAAGGATGCCAGGCTGCACCAGACCCCAACTAGAAAAAGACAGGGGGGGGGTTAATACCCTTTCTGCGGTCTACTTATTGTATTACTGTTGGCATTGTGGATTCAGGCGGTTGGTTGCAGTAACAAACCTCTCATTTTCTGATTCCTCCAGGTTCCTGACTGTGTAGAGAAAGAACATTCATCACTTTAACAAACAATTAAAAATTGTCCAAATTGTGTTGCATGTGTTGAGACTTTTCTCTAGTTTGATCTTTTGTTACAAAACATGACAGCAACTTGAGGAATGATGTACAGCACACATGACGCAATAAGGAAGCAGAGTAAAAGTACAGCGCAGGCGATCCATGACGGGCAGCTTCTATCACCTCCAATCAGCGGCCAGATCTTATGTCTCCAGGTATCAACACAGACGACCACGGCCAGACCAGCAGCCAGCAGGAACAGGAGGCGCAGGGAGGTCAGGGCCAAGCACCTGGAGGGCAATAACAACACGGTAATCACATGAACAGCCTGGACCGTGCACACAGTGGCAATGAGGCACGAGGTTATACAATTCATGACCTGCGAGTGGTTATCTTTATTCCAAAATTAAGAAAAGGTGAAGTTATGGCACTGATATGTGTTAAAACTCATTAGTTAGTGGATAGAAATCAGGGTTCAAACTGTGTTGTTGACAACAACGTTACAGTATTCTGCCAATAAACCGATTAACAAAACAAAGAGTTTGTTGGTAGATTAAGGTGTGTTGGTATTTGGGGCAGCAGTTCTATTAGTACAGCAAGTTAAAAACCTAAATGCAATTGTCTTAGTAGGACTAGCGCTATACAAACTGAACAATATGTACTTCTACTAATTGATGAAAAACAACTAAACGCTTAATCTCGCTGCATATCAGAGGTGGTGGTATTCAATTATTTGGTGGGTTTTCTAATATCAATTTTCCCCTTAGTGTTAAAAAAAAGAAGACAGAAGTCAGTGTGAGTTGCCTCACCAACTGCAGTTCAAGGTTCAAGGCCCACGCGTACAGATGCATCTCTACCCGTTTCCCGCACACACTCAATATGTCATAACACAACGGTCACATCACAAAGACAACTAATTGTACTTTGGGCAGCAGCTGGACTCACAGGCCCGGGGACATAATGGAATAAATGCTGAATGCCTCAACTCCACAAAACAGGCCGGCCAGGCCAGCGTATTCTTCCTTCAGGGATGATTAACAAACAATAAGATCATTGGCTAATTTAACCAAATTTTGACAGGTCTTTTTTTTTTGTCTGAGCACATCTTAAAGCAAAGACAATTGAGTTAATTTTTTTATTTGGACAAATAAATGACAAAAACAGAGATAAATAATATCACAGTGCAGGAAGAGGGAGAAGCCTCAACCTATACGATTAAAGGATTTCACCTAATTATCACATAATGTCACTATGCATAATATGTGCTGGAAGCTGCATCTCCACAACATTAAACGCCTCCAACTTCTGCAGGGACAGCACATGCGAGTTAAATGTAATGTAACAGATTTAACCTAAAAGCACGAGCCTCGCGCGCCATCAACGCGCGGCGGCTCTGTGGAGTCTATAAATAGCACCACCAGCCACCTGCCTCGTCTTCAGCCGACAGGTGAAGCATTTGTATTGTGTCTAAATAGGGGGGGTCGCACCAAACCGTCTCCGTAGGGGTCTAACGAAGTTAAATGGGGCTCGCTAGGGCGACCCACGTGCGCGCCGTCCACGCGCCCACTGCAGTAAAGCGGGTTGAAAACTCACCAGAACACCACGTTGACCGCAGCGTAGAGCAGCGCGCACTGCGCGGGTCTCTCCCACACCAGGGCGGCCTGCAGGCAGGTCAGGACGGGCTCGTAGGGCCCCAGGCGGGACTGCAGAGCCGCTTTGACAGCGCGCACCCGGGCGTCTCTCTCGCTGGAGCACGGTCGACTCCGCAGGCCGACGGAGACCCCTCGCTGGACACAGCGGTCGCCCGCTGCTGCGTCTTCCGTTGCATCGACGTGCGCCATCTTAAGCAGTGTGCGGTCTGCCTGTCAAAACGAAGAGACATTAAGTGGGGAAGCGGGTAGACGAGGGACGCCACGGAGCGGGTCCGCTCACAACATCGGCTAGCAGATCTGCGCTAATGGTTTCCCCGAAGTGACGTTAGCTGTTAGCTAGCCAGGCTAGCTGTATCATTGCTATAGCGTCTGACGACAAACACCTCGTTGTAATACAAACCGAGCGCGCCGTCAAAGACAGCGAGGCGATGTTTGCAAGTCAGATGACACGTACTATTTCGGCATTTTTGAAGGAATTACGCGCTCTCCTCGGACGTTGACAATATGGCGTAACCTGTTTTTCTAAATCATTAACCGTCCAATCAGAGTCGCTTAGGGGTCCGCGTCATGGTGCGTTCAGGTGCAATGGGAATAGTTTGTTTTTATTTATTTCAAAGTGGTTTGACTAACGTGTCAACAAGCCAGTACTAAAAACATATTTTAGGTTAAAATCTAAAATATGTTTTTAGATTTTAAGATTTTCACTGGGAACCGTCACCTTATCGTGGTGGAGAGGTTTGTGTGTCTCTATGAACCTGAGGGCTGTGTTGTCGGGAGCCTTGTGCTCCTGGTAGGGTTACCCTTGGCAAAGTGGTCTCAGGCGAGGGGCCAGACTAAGAATGGTTCAAGACCCCATGAAAAAACGGAAGGAGTTACCTGGCCCGGAGGAAGCCCGGGGCCCCCATTGTGAGCCAGGCCCAGATGGAGGGCCCGACAACGAGCGTCTGGTGGCCGGGTTTACCGCGGAGCCCGGCCGGGCACAGCCCGAAGGAGTGATGCGGCAGCCCAACACTCTACTCCCCATGGGCTCACCACCTGTGGAGGAAACCGATAGGGTCGGGTGCGCTGCTACAAGGGTGGCAGTGACAGTGGGGGGTCTAGACGGAACAGACCTGGGCAGCAGATGCTGGCTCTGGGGACGTGGAACGTAACCTCTCTGGGGGGGAAGGAGCCGGAGCTTGTGCGGGAGGTGGAGCGTTATCAGTTGGATCTGGTGGGCCTTACCTCTACGCACAGCCTCGGCTCTGGAACCACACTCCTGGATAGGGGGTGGACTCTATTCTACTCCGGAGTGGCCCATGGTGTGAGGCGCCAGGCGGGTGTGGGGATACTCATAAGTCCCCGGCTGAGTGCTGCTACATTGGAGTTTACCCCGGTGGACAAAAGGGTCGCCTCCCTACGCCTTCGGGTGGTGGGGGGGAAAACTCTGACTGTTGTCTGTGCATATGCACCAAACAGCAGCTCAGAGTATTCGGCCTTTTTAGAGACCCTGAATGGAGTCCTGCATGGGGCTCCAGTAGGCGACTCCATAGTCCTACTGGGAGACTTCAATGCGCACGTGGGCGACGATGGAGATAACTGGAGAGGCGTGATTTGGAGGAATGGCCTCCCTGATCTGAACCCGAGCGGGTGTTTGTTACTGGACTTCTGTGCCAGTCACGGATTGTCCATAACAAACACCATGTTCGAACATAAGGATGTTCATAAGTGTACGTTGTACCAGAGCACCCTAGGCCAAAGATCAATGATCGATTTTGTAATCGTATCGTCTGATCTGAGGCCGCATGTTCTGGACACTCGGCTAAAAAGAGGGGCAGAGCTGTCAACTGATTACCATCTGGTTGTGAGCTGGGTCAGAGGATGGGGGAAGACTCGGGACAGACCCAGTAAACCCAAGCGTGTAGTGAGGGTGAACTGGGAACGTCTGGAGGAGGCCCCGGTCCAAAAGATTTTCAACTCACACCTCCGGCGGAGCTTCTCTCACATTCCTGTGGAGGTAGGGGACATTGAACCAGAGAGGTCTATGTTCAAAACCTCCATTGCTGAAGCCGCGACTGTGAGTTGTGGCCTCAAGGTCTTAGGTGCATCAAGGGGCGGTAACCCTCGAACCGCGTGGTGGACACCGGTGGTCAGGGAAGCCGTCCGACTGAAGAAGGAGGCCTTCCGGGTTATGATACCCGGTGGGACTCCAGAGGCAGTTGCAGTGTACCGACAGGCTCGAAGGGCAGCAGCCTCTGCCGTGATGGAGGCAAAGCAGCGAGTATGGGAGGAGTTCGGGGTAACTATGGAGAAGGACTTTCGGTCGGCACCAAAGTGTTTTTGGAAGACCATCCGGCACCTCAGGAGGGGGAAACGGGGAACCATCCAAGCTGTGTACAGTAAGGATGGGACCCTGTTGACCGCGACTGAGGAGGTTATCGGGCGGTGGAAGGAACACTTTGAGGAACTCCTGAACCCAACTACTACGCCCTCGTTGGTAGAGGCGGAGCTGGAGGCGGAGGAGGGATCATCGTCAATTGGCCTGGTGGAGGTCACTGAGGTAGTCAAACAACTCCGCAGTGGCAAAGCCCCGGGGATTGATGAGATCCGTCCAGAGATGCTAAAAGCAATGGGTGTTGGGGGGTTGTCTTGGATGACACGCCTCTTCAACATTGTGTGGAAGTCTGGGACAGTGCCAAAAGAGTGGCAGACCGGGGTGGTGGTACCCCTCTTCAAAAAGGGGGACCAGAGAGTGTGTGCCAATTACAGGGGTATCACACTACTCAGCCTCCCGGGTAAAGTCTACTCTAAGGTGCTGGAAAGGAGGGTTCGACCGATAGTCGAACCAAGGATTGAAGAGGAACAATGCGGTTTTCGTCCTGGTCGTGGAACAACGGACCAGCTCTCCACTCTTTCCAGGATCATAGAGGGGGCTTGGGAGTATGCTCATCCAGTCTACATGTGTTTTGTGGACTTGGAGAAGGCGTATGACCGGGTCCCCCGAGAGATACTGTTGGGAGGTGCTGCGGGAGTACGGGGTGAGGGGGTCCTTGCTTAGGGCCATCCAATCCTTGTACGCCCAAAGCGAGAGCTGTGTTCTGGTGCTCGGCAATAAGTCGAAGGCGTTTCCGGTGGGGGTTGGCCTTCGCCAGGGCTGCGCCTTGTCACCAATCTTGTTTGTGGTTTTCATGGACAGGATATCGAGGCGTAGTCGGGGGGAGGAGGGTCTACAGTTCGGGGGGCTGCGGATCACATCGCTGCTTTTTGCAGATGATGTGGTCCTGATGGCATCTTCCGTCTGTGACCTCCAACTCTCACTGGAGCGTTTCGCAGTCGAGTGTGAAGCGGTCGGGATGAGGATTAGCACCTCTAAATCTGAGGCCATGGTTCTCAGCAGGAAACCGATGGATTGCCTACTCCAGGTAGGGAATCTGTCCTTACCCCAAGTGAAGGAGTTCAAGTACCTCGGGGTCTTGTTCACGAGTGAGGGGAAGATGGAGTGTGAGTTTGGCCGGAGAATCGGAGTAGCGGGGGCGGTATTGCACTCGCTTTACCGCACCGTTGTGACGAAAAGAGAGCTGAGACGGAAGGCAAAGCTCTCGATCTACCGGTCAATCTTCGTTCCTACCCTCACCTATGGTCATGAAGGATGGGTCATGACCGTAAGAACTAGGTCACGGGTACAAGCGGCCGAAATGGGTTTCCTCAGGAGAGTGGCTGGCGTCTCCCTTAGGGATAGGGTGAGAAGTTCAGCCATTCGCGAGGAGTTCGGAGTAGAGCCGCTGCTCCTTTGCGTCGAAAGGAGCCATTTGAGGTGGTTTGGGCATCTGGTGAGGATGCCCCCTGGGCGCCTCCCTAGGGAGGTGTTTCAGGCACGGCCAGCTGGGAAGAGGCCCCGGGTCCCCCGAGAGATACTGTGGAAGGTGCTGCGAAGACCCAGGACTTCGTGCTGGGAAGACCCAGGACTAGGTGGAGAGATTATATCTCTGCACTGGCCTGGGAACGCCTTGGGATCCCCCAGTCAGAACTGGTAGATGTGGCCCGGGAAAGGGAAGTTTGGGGTCCCCTGCTGGAGCTGTTGCCCCCACGACCCGACCCCGGATAAGCGGTTGAAGATGGATGGATGGCCTTGAAAAAGGCTGTTTGTTTATTTGCCGGTTAACGACTCCATGTGGTCTTTGAAGAATGGTGATATATCCATCGAAAGGCTACTTAATTAAGTCTTGTTAAGGACAAACGTCGCTGATTAATTCTCTCCCAAAGTATATGCATCTTCTCTGTCCTGTGGTCAGAATCACAATGAACAGATGAATCTAATTTGTTCTGGAACTTGGCCTTGAAGATTCCATTCCATTCCGTTCCATTCCGTTGTCATAGAGTGGACTCCAAGACAACGGAATAGAAAATACAACAAAACCCACTCTGTGTGGTTTTATATATATTTTATATATATGTGGTGTGGTTTGGCAGCTCATGCACGTCCTACACTACGGATAATACTGACGTTCACATCCCATCCGTAATGTTTGTTGATTTTTCGTTTCGATCTTTATTTATTATGTTAAATAAAGAACATTGTCTCTTGAAACAGTGCAACTCCAATCCTGTCATGGCCCAAAGGGCCAGGTCGTGACAAATGGGGGGCTTGTCCAGTTCGCTTCTGCGTCTGCGTCGACGCACTCGTTTCAATTCATGGTTCCAAAGTCTTGCGTGTGTTGCAGAACAATTCACCGCCAGAACAACAGGCGGAGTGACGTGTTTTTGTTGAAGACGACCTAGAGAGTCACGTCTTATTTATTTATGTATCATTTATCAGCTTTTCATCGCGGACACATTTGTCCCGTATTTTCCTCCACAACTTTGCGCACCTCTCGAACCGGCAAACCGGCGTTTGCGGCGATCTCCCTCCGTGAATCCAACCCGCCAGTGACGGCTTGTAGAAGCGGTCATATTTACGCATTTCTTCCCGACAAAAGATCTTCAATCTGATCCGTTCTCTCGTAAACATTCTTCGTTTTAATAATGGTGGTATCGGGCTATGAAAGCAAAGGACGCAGTTAGCGGACCAATCGCTGCCTGGTGCGCTGTCAAGAACGACGCAAGCCTAGAAAAATGGCCCGACACACGCAAGGACGCAAGGAGGTGTGAAAAGCGACGCAAGGGACACGCAAGGAGGGGTCTGCGTCTCTCTGAAAACGCAGAAGCATAAATTAGGCTTAACGGAATTTTCCTGTAATTAGGAGTTGCTGTGATGAGCGGATTGGGGTCGCTGCGGTTTTCTCTCCGGGGAAGCTTCGTCTCCGCGTTCATACCGTGCGCCAGATCAGCTCCTTTAAACATTTATCACGTGTGTTTTAACCAGGGCTGTGTCCCTGTGCATTGTTGAATGGATGTTTATCTTATTGTAATCCACTAATTTGTTTAACTTAACTTAAACATAACTTCCTCAGTCTAACGCTTACAATATCACAAGATACTGAGGCCATCACTATGGGCTTCGCGTTCCCTCCACATCCGAGCGAGGTGATTGAACTTCCACAGTTGGAGTAGTACTGCCAGTATCTTCAGACTCGTGACTTTCTGCCCTCTCTCGATGCAGTGAAGCTCTACAGTCCCTGTCCGTCACCTGGCCCAGCAGCGAGAGGGCAAGGTCCTGTGTGTGGATAGCGCTGCACCCTACGGGGTAATTTGGCCTGGGGGCACTGATAGAGCCCTGTTGGCTGTGGTTGTGTCCTATGCATGCTGAAGTGTGGTGCGCCGAAGGCACGAGGGGGCTGAAGGCAGTGTGATACTGCGGCTGGCCAGAGTAAGTGACGGAGGAATGGATAGGCGTCTGCGAGCTGGTCTGGTTGTGTGTCGGATCAGAGTGGGTTTGAACACTCAGTGGTGGATGAGAGTAGCCAGAATTAACTGGAGAACATGGAGGGTGGGAGTTGCTCATTGTGGGGACGGAGGCGCTGTGCGGTACGTGTGGGGCCAGACAAATCACTGGCACGCTGCTGAATGCGGAGCCGAGGCCGAGGAGGGATTCTTCTGCCCGGGCGTGCGAGTGGGTCACGTAGGGAGGGTTTGAAGCCGTTCTCGAGGTTTGAAAGGGGCCGCACTGGCTCTGGAACCTGTGGGCTGCGGCGGCATCTCTCTCAGAGCAGCACAGGTGCAAACAGGGTGACGCGGGGCTTGACGAGTGCAGAAAGGCGGCACTTCTGCCCTGGGCGGGCATCCCACTGCAGCCCCACACATTTCTGGCAGGGTGGCTAATTGCTCCATGATGGAGGTGCAGACCCGTGGCAATATTTAAAGGGACATGGGGCTGCCATTTGCTGGAAGCAGTCACACTAGGACTGGGGGCCATCTGTATGCCACAGGAGCGCGAGGACACGGGAGGGCTATGGAGCAGTGCCGTATGAGACTGAAGGAAATGCATTATGTCATGGAGCTCTTTGGTCAGGTTCGATAATTCTTGGTTCAAGTTGCTCACCTGGGACAAAAAAAAAATCAAAGTTGGTTGATGTTCATATCTGTCATTTAATTTAAATCCTGAATGAAAAAAACAGTATATTTTATAAACCATTTTGTAAACCATAACTTAATCCATTGATACAATTTGCATGTTTTCATTTTCATATTAATGTGTTGGTTCTAATACAGCGCACCTCTTTGTTCAGTTTGCTGATGTTCTGTCTCACTTCCTCTGTCTCCAGAAGCAGGTTTGCACTCACATGGAACCGATCTGAAATGGGATGAGAAACAACTTTATAATACAGCTGCTCCTCCTTGAATGTAAAGATATACGACTCAAGAACTGTTCAAATCGGACATTTTCCTAAATGTATTCGACCATACATAATTCAGAGTTAAAGAACAGTTGCTATTTCCAATTTCCCCCGCTGTGCAGCCCGAGCGACTTCACCTGTCACGTTGGCCTTTGTCTCGCTGTTCTCTACATTAAATTGAAATGAGTGACCGTTGTCCTCAATTCCATCCACGACCCTGCGGCAGAGACACAAATCGGCGGGACATGAAATTACGAACGCAAACTGATTACCGGATCGTGATCGGGTGAAGCAGGAGGAACTGTTACCTGGGGCTGAGGTCCAACGGACTAACGCAAGACTGGGACGGCATCAGCAGATTGGCAGGCCGACGGTTCGGGTCTGGGTCGCCGGTGAGACTGTGCAACGGAGACTGATTGGTGAACGGCTGAGGGGCGGGGCCCCGGCCTGCGCCGCCCCCCTGAACAGGTGCCCGACAGATGCGCAGTGCGTTGATGTGGTGGAGCTCCTCCCCTAACAGGGTGCTGAGGCAGGGCGGATTGACAGGGCCGCCCGCTCCCTGCGACAGAGGCCCCCTCCTCGGATGAGACTGTCTCGTGTCTTCGCCACCTTGGGCATGTTCATCGGCCTCAACGATGTACGGTGGTTTAGGGTCCATCGAAGCGCGAACCTGAGGAGACAATGGATCGTTGGTGGTCAGGATTTGCTTTATACGATGCACCCATCGATGGACCGTAGTGCACATTAGAGATTGCACATACGATATAGTAGCACTCTCATTTCATGTACGAAATCAAAGTGTAAAAGCAGCCTTCTCCTGATGAAAGATGAAAAATATACCACCAACAAGCTCCAGCCCGGCATTGTCATAAATTGTTGTCCTTTCAATTGTTTTGTCAGCATGTCAGTTTGTCTCTTTTGAAGGTAATGCAGTGAGGAATGAATTGTGTGCACGCAAACTGCAATTGACAAATGTAGCAAAGCCTTCTTTCCCTCGTATTCATTCAAAGTGTTGTTGTATTTATTACTACTGTATCACACGGGATCATTTTAGACTCCATTTGCAGAATCCTTTTTCAGACGTTCTACACTACATTTCAGCTTCGGTTTAATATGCTAATTGGTAATTAGCCCATAGGCAGTGCAAAACCATCTTTATCTCAGCTACCGTATGTATATAAATTCAGGCAGTTGATGTGCCAAGTGTTCGCACATTCACCACAACAGTTCTGTTCCGTTAAGGACGTTTGCTCCACGTGGTGTAGATCTGTATGATGTAAACACAGATTGTTTGTATGTATCTGTAACTAATCGCCAGATGTAACAAGGAGATGAAGGCTGAAGTAATTACCTCAGTAAGGCACACATACCTGAGGGAGCCGGGAAGACCATGGACACTTTGTCACTCCCTACAGATATTCAAGCCAAAATTTAACAAGGTATTACACGCTCATTCTAGATTTGGTGGCAAAATATTCATGTTGCTTTTAATGAGCAGGAGCACAGAAATGAAACACTGGGACACTGAGTCTTTCTCTGCCATATCCGCCACTCTTTATATGTAACAACAAGTGCCGTACGTCGGATCCAGTGTCCTCTCTCAGGTTGTAGGTGAGGTTGTGATGGATGTCGGAGCTGAACCGGCCGCCGTACTCCGGGTACAGCCTGAGCACCTCCCTCAAAGCCCTCACGCTGATCAGGTCGCCTTTGCCTGCAGGGATTGTCAATCACGCCTGACAGGAGGGAACGCCTTGGGATCCCCCAGTCAGAGTTGGTAGATGTGGCCCGGGAAAGGGAAGTTTGGGGTCCCCTGCTGGAGCTGTTGCCCCCGCGACCCGACCCCGGATAAGCGGTTGAAAATGGATGGATGGATGGATGGAGGTTAAAATAGTAATTTATCCCTTTTTAGTTTTGTAGATTTGTTAGTCCTTTTATAATGTTGGATGGTTGTGTACAAATCAAATAAAAATGTGTTGTTAAAAACTCCGTTGTTCTATTAAATATGTCGTTGTTTGTGCAATAAGAGTGACTACATTATATATGTTCCAAATAACTGAAATATCAGTCATAAACACGTCCGTCAAGATGTGACCACGAAAGGCAACATAGACTAGTCACACAAATATCTTCAATGAAAACGTTAATTAATGTTTTATATGAAATATATTGTATATGGAAATTCGGAATATGTTGTACGCTACTATAAGCGGTTTAGGCTTGAAAATATAGACCATTCATTGAACTCACAAACTGTCAACTCCCGTTTGCCATGTAGTTACACAACATGACCACCGGAGGGCAATGAAAGACCGCTGCACCAATCAATGGAACGTCAAGGTAGAAAACCTGACACTTCCGTGTCTTACACAATAAAGGTTTAATTAGAATATTTCCTTCGTTGCTTTCATTTAAAGTTGATCTATAAAAACCTCGCACTCTGGACCCCGATTTTCTGCCATGAACTCATGTTTGAATGGCGCTGATAAGTTCACCCTCGACGAACTCCGACGCGGCAGGCGGCGACAGTCACCTCTGACGCCGCTTATTAAATCGCCTCTACGCCGTAGAAGAAGTCCGCTGCGCGCGTCACACCAGCAGCGAGCGGGAAGGAGCGGGCTGGGGTCCGGGCAGTCTAAGCAGCGGCCGTCCACCCTCCTCCTTCTTCTTCGTCTGTTCAGCTAGCAAAACAAACCGGCTAGCGAGATAGCTAAACAGGCGGCGCCGGAATACCGAAAATGCCGCGGGAAATCATAACGCTCCAGCTCGGACAGTGCGGGAATCAAAGTACGCGCACGGCGACGTGAATGCTAAATCTCTCCCCCTCTGCTCACGTGCACGGCTCGCGGCGTTACACTCGGGTGTCCATCTAAGTGAGCTAACGCTAACGCTAGCTCGGGCGGCGGCTAACGTCAGCAAAAGTGCACGCATCGATTCTAGCTAATATCAAAACACGCCCGATCCCACGGATGCAAACACACACGCCTCTTAAACACAGAAAGGACCACTTGTGCTTTAAGTGGGATCTCTACACAAGTGACGCAGTGCAGTCCACGCTAACCGAGCTGCTTTGACGTGTAAACTTCTGTTTCTTCACCTTTCTCTAACCTGCTTCTCTCCCTCCCTCCTCCCCGTTTTATGCGCAGTCGGTTTCGAGTTCTGGAAGCAGCTGTGTGCGGAGCACGGCATCAGCCCGGAGGGGATCGTTGAGGAGTTCGCCACCGAGGGCACCGACAGGAAGGACGTGTTCTTCTATCAGGTGAGAGACTCGTGCAGACGCAAGGAGCTTCTGTTCTGCAGGATTGCGCGGTACCGGTCCAACACCGACCTCTGTGCAGCATCCTTGGGGGCCACTAGGATGAGGTGGTTGCAGGTGTGAAGTGGCGGTGCTTGTGTGACACACACACAGCAGATTAAGAGACTTATGTGTGGTTGTTCCCTCAAAATGAACCTCCCGCAGGCCGACGATGAGCACTACATCCCCCGCGCGGTGCTCCTGGATCTGGAGCCCAGGGTGATCCACTCCATCCTCAACTCTCCGTACGCCAACCTTTACAACCCGGAGAATATCTACCTGTCGGAGCACGGCGGGGGCGCCGGGAACAACTGGGCGAGTGGCTATTCCCAGGTGACGACCCGAGAGTGACGCGTTTCCTTTTTGTAAATTTGAAGAAAAAAAAAACTAATGCATCAAGTAATCTGTTCTTATCTTTTTTATTTTTTTTTCAGGGTAAAAAAATCCAAGAGGACATCTTCGACATCATTGACCGGGAGGCGGACGGCAGTGACAGTCTGGAGGCAAGTCTGCCGCTCTTCACGCACCGACCGTCCCTCGGGGCCGAATTCATAAAACCTACTTTAAAGTAATGTGATGTGGTTGCGTGTGTATGCAGGAGTGCTGCATACCAATTACACGCCAAACAGGGCCCCTAAACATTCAAGGAAATACCAAAAGCGATCGGTTTGTATTTGGGATGAGCTCCTTTTCAGATTGAAGCTGTGGAAAGAGCAGAGATTTTGGTCCGAATAACGGATAATATATAAGAGCGTGTAATAAACCCACCACTCCCACACAGCAGCACGAGACGCTTTTGGTCCCTGTGTCATTAGCCAGAACGCCCACGGAGTCATTAATCCACCGTCTGAATAATATCAGGGAAGCCTCGAGTTTACAGATGCACGTCTTGCATTTTTAGTTGTGGGGAAACAAGAGAAATCGACGTGGTCTGAACTTTGTTCAAATGGGGCCTGTGCCCCGACATCTTATAAAAATAGCAGCCACGCCTCACTATTATTCTGGGCCCTTTTTCCTATTTTTTTGGTGATCTCCGTTCAGCCGCCAGCCTACCCTATAAAAGTAAAAACACTCACATTTCCTCTCAAGGTCTGCAATTTCTGAAAGTCCTTCCCATTATGAGCCCACATTATTATTTAGCGTGTGTGTGTGTGCATCGGATAAGGAGGTGAGCCGAGCTGCAAGTGTATGTTGGCAGGGTGTGGCGTGTACAACGTCTGGTGATAATAGCCGGGCGAGGGTAGAAGGCAGGTATTACAGGGTTGTGTCGGAGGGGGGGGGGGGGGCATCCCATTTATATAACTGCCAAGGATGAGAGGCCTTTTGCTCGCCCACACACTTTGGGTTGTCGGCATCAGCAGAGTTTACAGTAGGCTTCACACACACACACACGTGGCGCATGCCGTTGCCCGGGGACATAACCGCCTTTGTCTTTGCAGGGTTTCGTCCTGTGTCATTCCATCGCCGGGGGGACGGGCTCGGGGCTTGGATCCTACCTGCTGGAGAAACTCAACGACAGGTCAGTGAGCACAAACGCAACTCGTTGGAAAACACATTCTGTGTGTGTGTGTGTGTGTGGTTGTTTGTGTGTGTGTGTGTGTGTGGTTGTTTGTGTGTGTGTGTGTGCACGTGTGAATGATGCACATTTGGGTCCGCAGGTACCCAAAGAAGCTGGTGCAGACGTACTCTGTGTTCCCCAACCAGGACGAGATGAGCGACGTGGTCGTTCAGCCGTACAACTCGCTGCTGACGCTGAAGAGGCTCACCCAGAATGCGGACTGCGTGGTGAGCTCACATCGCTCCCGTGGCCTTTAAAGCACATTAGTATACAAGCCCTCGTTTAACACGAAAAAAAGGTTTCAATGAGCTGAAAACAGGAAAAGATTTTAACTGAATAAGTGGCCGGACTAATGTTTCTAAACCGAGTGCCACCTCATCAGCGCCGAGTAAATCAGACTTCAATTCACTTAAATGACCTCCCCTAATTATGATCAACCCACCCACCCCTAAACAGATAGGGGGGGGCCCTTGAGCTGCACATGGGCAGGGTTCACAATTTGATTAAAAACACATATTTCCACGGTCACGCGACCGTGTCAGAAAAGATAAGTACGATTTATTAAATTCAGCATCAAAACGGGAATCGGTCCATAAGACGTCTAAATGTCTTCAGCACTTCAGCACCCCACCCCCCCCACCCGCCCCTCACGGCAATCGTGTAGCTGACAGAGAAGAAAAGTGCCGTGTGTCGGCAGTGAAACCAACCAAACTCAGTCTTGCGTTGGTAATTGCGTTAGTCTGAGAGGCTCTAGCAGTCTACTTCCTCCCTGGCCATTGGAAAGACCCTCCTGTTGATTAAGTTAGCCGGAGAGAATCTGCCCCCCTCTTGCAACTGTACAGGGTGTGTTCTATTGAGTTCTGCTCACAACAGCTCCCTGTGCTACTCTCACACGGATACGTTCCTGCTCGTTCTTTGACATCAGTTCTTTTGGCTGAAGGGAATCTCTTTTCTTTAATCTCCTTCATGTGTCTAAGAATTGTCGTGTGTGTGTGTGTGTGTGTGTTGCACATCAGGTGGTGTTAGATAACACGGCTCTAAATCGCATCGCCACCGACAGGCTGCATATCCAGAACCCCTCGTTCTCCCAGATCAATCAGCTGGTGAGTGTTGCCACCTCTCCCTCTTCTTCTTCCTCCTCCTCCTCCCGTCGTTCTTCCAGCTTGCCAGACCATATTTAGACAAAGGCAAACGGTGCGTGACGCACGGCGCTCACTTTGGGAAATTGCCGATGTTCATAAACCGGTTCGGCGAGCCGGTTGCACGTCGGACCGGATTTCAGCTTTCTCTCGAAACGAGTCGCACGGATCAGAGCTGAGCGACACCGAGAGTGATCAAAGTGAATGAAACAAACTGCTTCTCACGTCAGCGTGAGCTCGCACCAGACTGTAGTGGATTGAAACCTTTTTTTGTGTCTCAACTGAGCTTAATCCCCCCCCCACACACACACACATGCAGGTTTCCACCATCATGTCGGCCAGCACGACCACGCTGCGCTACCCGGGCTACATGAACAACGACCTCATTGGCCTGATCGCGTCGCTCATCCCCACGCCCCGCCTCCACTTCCTGATGACCGGCTACACACCTCTAACTACTGACCAGTCGGTGAGTGGAGTGGAACGTGATGCCTGCACGTCCCAGTTAATATTCAGACTTAAACCCCCTTCCCCGCGACGCGTTCCCAGGTGGCTAGTGTGCGGAAAACCACGGTGCTGGACGTGATGAGGAGGCTTCTGCAGCCCAAGAACGTGATGGTGTCCACCGGACGGGAGAGGCAGCCCAGCCACTGCTACATCGCCATCCTCAACATCATCCAGGGAGAGGTCGACCCCACGCAGGTACGCCGCCCGTCCGGGTTCCCAGCTGCATCGGGGCGAGGGTTGCTCGGCAGCTCCAGTGACTGGTTTTGTGCTCCGCTGTAGGTGCACAAAAGCCTCCAAAGGATCCGGGAGCGTAAACTCGCCAGCTTCATCCCCTGGGGACCCGCCAGCATTCAGGTGGCTTTGTCCAGGAAGTCCCCGTACCTGCCGTCAGCCCACCGAGTCAGCGGCCTGATGATGGCCAACCACACCAGCATCTCCTCGGTAAGCGCTCCTCTTTGCGTGTGTGAGACCTGTGTTTGCTCTCTGCCAATACTCCAGGATGTGCATCTTCAAATTTGAGGGGGGAATTCCACAGATAATCTGGTTTTTGGATGTCATCCTGTCAAATTCTTCTTCTTCTTCTCCTCCTCCTCCCCTTTTTAGTGGTTTTAAAACAGAGCTGTGAGGTTGAGGGGGGGAAATGCAACCTGATGCGGTCATCTAAGGAAGCCATATAATTAGTTTTCCTTTCTGGTGACATAAAAGTTTAAAACCAAAGTGTTTAAAATAAACCGGACTAAGAAGCTGAGCATTAACCGGTACTTTCTTCTCTGCCGGCCCACAGCTGTTCGAGCGGACGTGCCGGCAGTACGACAAGCTGCGCAAGCGGGAAGCCTTCCTGGAGCAGTTCCGCAAAGAGGACATATTCAAGGACAACTTTGACGAGCTGGACAACTCTCGCGAAGTGGTCCAGCAGCTGATCGACGAGTACAGCGCGGCCACGCGGCCCGACTACATCTCTTGGGGAACGCAGGAGCAGTGAGCGGACCACCGTCCAGGCGCCGGCTGGTTATTTTTAACTCCAATTCTCCCTACAAAAAGACAGGCCGTCCTTGCTTCTCCGGGGGAAAAACAAACTGATACGGATGGGCTTGTTCTATTATTGAATAGTTTGATTGTGACTCCATTTTGAATAAGAGTGTTAACAGCCACTGTTTATATTAACCAAAAAATGAACTGAACCGTAGACTGTCCAACCCAGTTTGAATAAAATAACCCTTCTAAACAGTCCTATTAAGTTTCTCTCATGCACATCTGTGCAGAAAGAAACTATATATATTGTACAAAACAATCTATACATCTGTTAATAGTTTTTTTTCTCCCTGTATTCAGCTTTCCAGCCTAGTTGCCTTTTTTTTTCTTTTTTCTTTTTTTAACAGCAATTTGCCGGACAACCTGTTGCCTTGTTTTTGTGCTTTCCAGTAAATCATTCACAGCCTGCGACCCGTCTGCCTCGAGGGACGGGTTAAGACTGCGTTGCATGTTGCTCGTTGCAGCCCGGGGCTTTGAACATGATGTACGAGGATGGATGTCATGCTAACAGTTCATCTCTATGCCTGTAAATATACTTTAAAGGATGGCTGGTTCAGTGGCTTTCTCTGCACCAAGTTAATGTTCTGTTTCATGCTCGGCTCATTGGACCTGTTTTGAAATGATGAATAAACACCTTTTTTGTACAACTTTCCATGAGTCAATCCTATCTAGAAATGATATAAACACCTTTTCCTTCACCTGGAGCTGGAGGTGTTCTGCTGGCTGTTCACCTCACTGGGTTAAGGCTCATTACCGCGGGGGAACGTGACGGCCCCTTGGCGACCTTTGCTCGCAACCATTGTTTTTAACCAGAAAGGCTTCAGGGGAGGCCGCTCTCCGCTCCGCTGCTGGCGCCAAACTTCAACCTTTTGTAAAACGTATGGTTGAAAACAATAGTCCGGCACGGCACAAGAAAGCACATTTTCTCAAAATGGAAAAAAAGGAAATAACACTTATATGGTAAAATGGTGCCTTTTTTATTAATTACAAACAGTATTTATAGTTTTATTGCACTTTCAAGTTAGTTAAAAACAAACAATAGTGCAATTGACTATACACACACACATTACAATAAAAGGTACCATGCAGCATACAAATAAGCTTAATACAAAGCAACAACATTGACAGTTTGATTTATTTGCTTTTCAAACTTGTAGCTCGAAGCTGCCTGCAGCTGCAGTAGAAAAAGCAAAGACCTGCTTGTGAGCAGGAGACGGCTGTGCAATGACTCAAGGCCTTTCATGGTGAGGCAGGTTGTCACAGGGGTTGTGGCGCAGAGTACTCTAAAATGATATTTACAAAGCCTATCTACGGTATCAGATTCCTAAATGGTCATCTACTACATCAAAATAAGGCATATAATGTATACAACGGGATGTCTTCATGTCTGTCAAACACTCAGGTTTAAAACAAAAGAGTAAATGGGACAAACAGTCAAATGTACTATTTTCTGCTTCGGGATAAAAAAAAAAAACACCTTTGGTCCGTGCTCAAACCCCTGACGTGGCGAAACTTTGGCTTCACAGGAATACTCAAACCGGGAACGCAAAAGATGGAGCTACACAGGATTTACACTTCTGCACCGCCTTTAAGGAGCAAAACCAAAAGGATTTATGGCTCTTGGTAACCTTATATCAAAAAACACCGGGGTCTGCATTTAGGACAAACAAATAAAACAAAATAAAATTAAAAAAAATAGCAAAAAGTTTGCATAAATAATACTACAAAGCACCAATGGCCTGATTAAAAAGGTTTGTTTAAATAGCAGGGGGCTGATGTGTGGAACTGCAGGGTGAATATGGCATCAGTTCTTAAATGATCCAGATCTCTGACTAATGGTTTTATTTCTTTCGTATATATATATACATATATATATATATATATTTGGTTTTATTATTTTGTGTGGACAATAACTATAGACAGAGAAGCACTTGTTATTTTCAGCAGATAAGACCTGCATTAAGAGGGTAGTAACTGATAAGCAGAATCCTGCTCGGTCAAGTGTTACCAAAGTTTCGTGTCGACGACTACAGCCAAGACAAGCAGCACAACAAAGGTCACGTGAGAGAATTTGGTGGAGAACAAAAAAAAGTAGAAACAGCTCAGTAATCCTTTCGTTTCTGTGAGGCCGAATTAAATCAGATCCCAAATGTGTACTCCAGGAAACGGATTTCTTCATCAAATAGACACACGCACGCAGAGATCCAGAGTCTAGATGGCAAATGGCCGCCAAAGCGACTGAGCTTCAGAGTTCAACATCTGTTTCCAGTTCCAAGTTCACATGGCCGACTGCATCAACAGTTCCAGGTAACGCAAACCGGGCTGAGACCTTATGAAAACCGGCCGTCTCTGATGAACATGTCAGCACAAGGGCATGTAAGTGAGTGTGTGTGTGTGTGTGTGTGTGTGTGTGTGTGTGTGCGCAAAAAAGGCAGCCAGAGGTGGGGTGGGTGTGTGTGTCACTGAATGTTCCCAACACTATTCCAGCAGTGCTTGGGGGACGACCGCCTTCTAGGAAAGGCCTTACAGGGAGGAGAGGAGAGGAGGAGGAGGAGAGGAGCCGTACCTTCACCAGGCCAGCGGCTTCCTGCTGTCCCACCTCGTCGACGCCTCACATCGGTGTGTGTGTGTGTGACAGCTCATCAGCGACCGCATTGGTGTCCTTGCGGGTTTCTGACCTCACTTGCAAAACAGAATCCCCCTCCCGCCCCCACTCCCTCTTTCCTCCTTCATCGGCCAGCCCCTCAGCTGGGAAGCTCAGCAAGGGGTTTGTTTTCACGGCTGGGGAGCAAAAAGCCATCAAAAAACAACCCTCTCTTTGTTTTGGCTGCCGGGCTGCTCCCAGCGGAGCAGGCGTGGTGTCCGGAGGGCCGGGCCTAACTGGGGGCCACGTGGAGGAGGACAGGGTGGAGGTGGTGGTGGTGGGGGGGGGTTCGGGTTTTCGGCGTGTGGGTTCCTTTCAAACTGGGTGCGAGGGCAGGAGGTTGTGCTTGTGCGTCGAGCCCAGGTGGTGGAATCCGACCTCTGTGCTTTCTGTTACGGTGACGTCCGCGTCTTTCCCCCGCTGGCGACGGATGGCACCGAAATACGCATTCATCAGCTGCATGATCTCAGTCAGCTGTGAGAGAGAGAGACAGAGACAGAGAGGGAGGGAGGTCAGATTGGTGGCATCCTCCGTGTCTGTCTGGCACACAAGGGTGGAGACAGATGAGGTCATCTAGCTTTCTGGACGACACACACACACACGTTTGATCAAGAAAGAGAAAGTTTTACATTCTCGATTTTCATCTCTCTGACATATTCTACCCGGCAGCTGTTGCAGAAAAAAGTAAGGGCACTGGCGAGGTGCATCGGCCTGTTGCTCTAACCTTGGTAGTCATGACCACCAAACCGCCATAAGCCACCATTACTAAACGTGGTGTGAGAACACAGAGTCTCTGAGTTTAGACCTACACCCACGCTTCAATTTTAACCGTCACCCCTGAACGAGCGGCAGATCTCGCCCTCACCCTTTACTCCAGGCGCAACCATAATCACCCCCCTGCCATCTCGTTCCCTCTCTTTTCTATCCTTCCCAGAAGCTCCAAACGCCGGCACATTCACGTCGAAGCAACAGGGGACCTTAAGTTCATCAAAGTAGGAGCTTTACTGGGCTCTGCTTGGTGCGTCCGATAAGTAACTGAAAGCCACTTTTGTGCCCCATGAGACGTCACAGAGGGGTTTTTTGTTCCGCGTGGGAAGATGCAAGCTCGTCTGTCCAGTGAAAGGCAGGATTTGTTCCCTGCTCTTTGGAAGAACATCCATGTTTCGGAGAATTGTTGCTTAATGTTTTCATGGAGAGAGTGGGGAGGACGGAGGGGCAGACAGCGTGCTACTCTCACTTACTCTACTAGAACATTGCAAGGTGTCCTCTCACTGTACACATACCTAATGGTTGCGACAGATTGAGTCAGCTTAGTAATGAGAGATGTTACTTCCTTCAGCCTTCAGGCCGTCTATGACTACCGGCGGCGTAAAGCCTGTATACCTTGGTGGTTTCAAACAGCAGATCCCGATCCCCAGCTGTGATCTTGAAGGTGTTGCTATCAGATACTCCGTAGGAGCAGATCTGGCCGTAAGGGAAGGACTCCAGAGCCTCCGCCTCATCCTGCCGATACAGCGACACGGACGTGGCAGCGACACCCAACCACAGCTTCTGGGAAAAACACCCCGTGGAACTCTAGGGGTGAGGAAAAGGTAAGCGGGTGTCAGAACGGCTTTGATTCACAGCGTGAAGAGTTCAAGAAACTAGCTACTAAAACATTTCAGTCCAACAAAAAAAAAAGAATACTCACTATGTAAAAGTCCACTTCATAAAGGGTGCATCCAAAGCCCGACCACTGCCGTGCAATCGTGAGGTAGGCAGCCATACTGTCCCTGCAGCTGTAGCCGGCCAGACCTTTCCAGCGCTCCAAGATGGACCCCATGACGGTTGCCGCCTCCTCCTTCAGCCGGCTGCGCAGACGCATGTCCTGCTCGGCCTTCTGCTTGTGCGCGGCCGTAGCCGCGTGACTCCACAGCGTCCCCGCCAGGAGGCCCGTGGGGAAGCGCTGCGCCGTGGGGCAGTCCTGAGCCGCCAGCTGACACGGGGGCAAGGCTTGCGGTGCAGAAAGGGACATGACCACCTGAGCTTCCAGCCGGTGACCCGGGAAAAGCTCGTCCAGAGGAGGGCACGGGGCATGTGTGCTGAAGTCCCCCATCAGACACTGGAGCCTCAGGGAAGCTAAGGCCTGCAGGTCCTCGTCACAGGCTGGCAGCTGGCCGCGCACCACCATTTCATGGCACTGCGGGGCAAAGGTCAAAGTGAGACTGGACAAGCCAGAAAAGAGGGCACAGTTTGCCAGTTATAGCCTCAGAACTGCAGCTACAACTTGTTTTATTTTATTACCCGTGGCTCTTTATAGGAGTCCTCAGGAAAAAATGTTGTAATGAAGCAAGTGCTCATAGTGATGCTTTTTGAATGCACTGTGCTTTATTGCAATCACAGCCTATTTGACATGACTGTTACTTCGTGTGAGGAATGAGTCACTGCAGAACAATGAACGATATCTCATTTTTAACCATGTCCTCCTACAGCAAGACATTCTCCGAGGAGGGCTGTTTCATTACCTGCTCATAGAGGAAAAGATACTCGATACTGTCCAACGATATGCTGTCAGCATCCAACAGGCAGTAGAGCTTGAAACACAGTTTCCATTGGGAGCTGGACTCTGACTCTTTGGCGGAGAGGCTGCACAGCGGAGACAGACAGGGAACAAATGTACAAATGGTTAAGCAGGAAGGAAATGCTTGGATGTTACAAGAGGATTGCTGTGAGGACACAGACGCCAAAACAAAAACAAAGGATCCCTTTCATTTCAGCTGGTGGTATTATTGTTTGATTTAAGACTTTATCATTTGAGATTTTGACTGCAACTTGCTGGCTTTGATCACAGGAATAGTGACACGGGGCGTTTCCCGGTGAGGTGTCGTGTTTGACCTACAGGACCAGACAAGGTCACCACTTATCAAGGATACTGGATAACGCTCAGCATGGGGGTTGGACTGGCGGAGATAAATATACAATCCGCCGCTCTGTTGGCATTCATCTAACGAGTGACACATAGATAAGAGATGGCAGCCAGACGGAGGCCAGATGTTCTGATAGTGTGACCGTCTGCTTGGTTTTGTTGTGTCTGGCCTCCACGCGGTGTCTGCGGGGGGTTCCGTTTTACAGGGTGCGGATTGACAATGACTTTTCGAACCTGGTCAGGATATCTGCAATCAGAGCGCCGCCAGCGACCGGCTGTTCCCACAGCGCATTCTGCTCGTACAAGGCAAACGTGTTTTTGCTTTCCTGCAGGCCGAGCTTCTCCTGCATCATTCGAACCACCTGTTGAAAAGACGGCCGGTTACGCAAAAGGTTTCAATCGTAAAAGTGAAACACAGACGATAAGATTGAGAAAGGTTTTGCCTATGAAGTGGAATACAGTTGCGTGTGCAAGAACCTCATTGGCGGTGGTGTGCGAGCTGATGTAGAGCTGGCAGGACAGCGGGCCAGGATAGTGCACGGTGCACAGCATCTCCTGTCGGCTCATCAGCATCTGGATCTCCTCCCAGGATGGCACGCACTCCCGACACTTGGTCTTCTCCAGAGCCTCGCTGATGAAAGACGCGTAGTTATCCATCTCAGACTCGGGACTCTGGCTCTGGATCCTGCAGGAAAAGAGTGCGTGTGTGTGAGAGAGAGCAGTTATACTAGAGGATTGCCATGAGAAATTATATTCAATACTTAAAAGGCAGAACTTGTTAATGCTCGACATGTTAACGCTGATTTAAAGTCTCTAAAGTGTAATGCTGTGATTGTGGACTTTGCGTCATCCTTTTGATTCAACAAAAGGTCTTTATTTTTCCTCTAGCCGGCAATGCTCGAGAGTCAATGAGGCGAGGAATGACAAATGTCCTCACTTTAGCTCTTGAGACTTAAAAAGGCTCAACATCCCTCAATCCTTTTAAAGAAAAAGGAAAACTGCAAAGAAAACATGTTTGACTTTGGGTAGCACACGAAACAGGAAAAAAGTGTTTCCGCTCCTGCTGAAATCCAGCGACCCGCTACTTCCTCCCGGTGGAGCGTCCGGGAGCGCTAGGTGAGTGTGTGCGTGCCGTGGGGACCCGAAGGCAGCAGACACAACAAACTCCAAATGGAGCCTGAAGGTGTCACACACTGGAAGGTGTGAAATGCACTCTGACGGAGCCTTGAGCTCAGCGCCCGTGAGGGCCGAGTGAAAACAGGAAGGAAACTATCACAGCACCGTTGTCTCAAAGAACACAGACGGAGGACAAAGAGAGGAAAGAAGGACCCAAACATTCTGCCAGACAGAGAGAGGCCCTCTCACCCCCCCCCAATATCTCCCTCTCCCATAACTATATGGCCACAGGGCAGGATTTACTCTGCTGAAACATAATTACGAATGTTCCACTCGGTTTGCGTGATCCTTTCTATACCCTCCTGATTCCCCCTCCTCCCCCGTCCTCCCTTCTCTGCTCTTTCCTCTTTTCTTGCCCCCCCCCACCCCCTCTTCTGCTTTCTTTCTTCTGGCCAGTTCTCTCTGACAGCAGACATTCCCTGGGGGGTTTTCTCAAGGGTCTGCAAGAGCGGAGGAGGGTTTCTGGGCTTACTTCCCAGCTCCGGTCTTAGTTCTGCCCAGCTGCAGCCTCAGCACAGATCCACACAGTGAGAGAGTGCGTGAGAACGATGGCAACACGCTCGAAAAACACACACAGGCAGCGAGTTCCACAGTGTCATTATGAATCACCATCGCATGCAACTGTTACATTAGTGTTATATTAGGAGGGGGGCGGGGGGGTACCCATTACAGACATATACATAGAACATTCGGAGCAGCAGCGGAGCACTGTCGATAACTTAAGACTAGCATGCTCGCGAGAGCGGCCAAATTAGACCTGAAACACTGGATCTGTCTGGGGAACATGCGAACAATGTGAAGCATATCACGCTACTGTATCTAAACTGGTGGTCCGTGGTGCTGGCGCCTGCTTTTTGTGTACTGTCTAGACCCCATGTTTCTCCCTGCCACTGCACACCACTGATTCACCCAGCATGCAACCTGTTCCTCAGGACTAACAACTGGGTTTACTCTTCTTATGCATATTGTTCCTACAGCGTGACTTACATTAACGTGACTATCGTGTGCAAATTCGTTATATAACTATAACATAAGACTTCATTAAGTCATTGAGAGAAAGACAAGAACATTTTCCATTAGCTGGGAAATAAAGTAAACAGCTTTTGCAGGATTCAATCCAAAGTCAATCAATCAAATATACATACAAACATTAATATTAACTGTATTACATCCTCACCTCTTGAGGTGGAATCGCAGGTACTTGAGCACAGTGGGCCCGGGCCGGAAGGTGCAGCTCATGCAGGTGAGAAGCTGCCAGTAGCGGAGGTGTGCGGCAGTGTACGGGTCAGGCGTGTAGCTGTTCTGCTTCACCAGCTGGCAGTAGACCTCATCCCGGAGAGGCCGCAGGTCCAGGCAGGTCTGCAGCACGCCCTGGATGATGGGAACCGGCTCCCGGGCCGACTCCAGCTGCTGCAGGCAGTTGAAGAGCTTCACGGCCTCCTCACGCACCGAGCCATAGCCTTGCCCACCGTGGTCTGCGGAGAAGAAGAGCCATACAATGTTGTCTACTACTACTTGTACTTCTTCATGTTTTTATATTATCTTCAGAGTTTCTGCATGATACAAACAAATTGTTGTGTAAAACGTTAAATTGAGACAGATGTTTAAGCTATAACACGATGGTTTATTAAATAACAATATATTATTTATTACATAATATATTATTTAATATTGCATTATTGTATTGTATTGTATGAGTTGGTGTTATCTCTTTGTTATGTGAGGTTCCCCTATTTGCACTATTTGTATCACAAATAGACCCGAGCCAGGAAATGTGCTGCGTTGCATTGTGCTTAACGCTTCCTCTGCGCAGTTCAAACAGAGCGGTTATTACACTCAGGGTTGCTCATTTTATGTCTACAATACAATTATGATTTGATTGATGATTTTCTCCAAAAATGAGACTTCCGGCAGGGGAGATGAGAGCACAGAGCACAGCTGGGACTCATTACACTGAAGAGGAGTTTTGAAACACGTATCAATACCTGAATATTCTTGACAATACTAGTGCAACTTCAGACAAGCCTTGATAATATGCGATAGGGGTAGAAATTCACTACTTACATGTGTGCTCCAGGCTGCCGTAAGGAAAGGCCAGCAGAGGAGCGTACAAGGGCCCCTGGGTGTACTTCAAGATGGGATTGTGCTGGTAGATGTGCTCCACTACCTCCGGGTTGAACTTATTCTCCTGGAGCATACAAGTGAAAGAACTTTGTGACGATAATATCGATGGACACGAGTAAAGAACGACTTTCATCTGCACTCAGCGTGACTGCAGCCAACCTGGAAGCGAGTCAGCGAGCGGGTGATTGAGTGTGTGTGTGTGTGTGTGTTTGTCTGTCCGGGGTGACTGGGGTCGATATGACCAGGATCACAATTCAGCTCTGGCAACTTTCAAAGCCGCACGAAGGTCAAGTGATGACCCGGCGAACACACGCTAGCACGACTGACACGTTATATTTTATCTGTTGGGTTGAGTTTAGTGTGCGTGCGTTTGAGCCCCGCGCACGCCTTCCAGTGGCCCAGATGGCTTCAATGCTGCTGCCCTCCAGCACCTGTTGCCCATTAGCACTGTTGCCACTGCTCTGGCTCTTTTGCGTCTCCGCACACCCTCAAACCAGCCGCCCTTTCGCTCTTGCTACGAGACAAGCCCGCCCCCCCCCCCTCGGTGGGGTAAAGTTGACACATTCTTCTGAAGTGCTCGGTGCACAACAGTGACGGGCTTGTCTGTTTGAAATGTGGGAATAAGATTCTGCCCTTTGGATATCGTGCAGGAGCTTACATCACAACTTTCCAGATGAAATTCCTACACTATACGGACATGGCGAGGTCGCTAGGCCGCCTCCTTTTCCCTTTGATCTTCTCTTGCAGTCGTTTGACATTTTGCGAAACATGCTTATTTTCTTACTTGGCAAAGGCGAGAGAACACTGACACCATTCTCATGTCTGCATGCTAGATATGAAGCTACAGCCGGCTGCTGGTCGTGGCACTATAACGCAAAGACTGGACATGGTGGAACATCTGGCATGGAAGCTGCATGCTACGCTTCACACGTAGCACGCAGACATGTGACCGGTATCAACGCTCTCATCTAACTCTGGGCATGAGAGAGATGAAGCAGAGGGATACGTTTGACATATTTCCACTCGAGTCTTGTCATTTCAATCAGATATATGATGACAGGATTCCCGCAGAAGAAATTGCTATGATCTGGTGATTACAAAAAAAAGACAAGGGATTTGGAAGGAAAAAAAAAAAAAAAAGTCGGCCAGAAGATAAAAAAGAAGGCTAATTTATCTAAAGAACTTCCTTTCTTAAAAGCCAAACTGCGTGCACCTAAACCGTCACCGATAGTATCTTAGTGCACAGCTAAATTATTGTAGCTAAGAGTTTGGCCATGAAGTCTGCATGTTAGATATTTACAGCATTCTAGGTAGGCTTATTATTTCACACTTTGTTTGTCCTCCGTCTTTTAAATATAATGTGAGATTTATAATAGAGCAGTTAAGCCCTCTAATGCCTTTTTCAGATCCTCGTTCACTCAGGGTAAAGGTCCAAGGCCAACACTGCACTCCGCTCGCAGTCTGTGGTTGGAACACGAATCAATATTTCAAAAGATAAGAGAGCGGCCGTGTTCACACAAAGCCTTTCCTGTTCGCTCTGTCTTTGATTTTTTTAAACAGCCGTTCCGATGGAACACTCGAGAGGGGAACTATAATGCAGAAAGTGGGCCTTTGTGTAAAAGTGAGAGAGTGAGCAGGCAACAGACTGCGGGACAGTCCGAGAGGAAAAGCCGATTAAAGGAGCCAAACAATGAACTTTAAAAGCAGGCCCACTAGGCTCATCTTAATTACAAACTTGGCCCCTCCTGCAAAGCAGACCGGGGCAGACTGAGGCAAGTAGATTAACCACTTTCTTTGAGATTAGAGACTCTCGTTGGAAGATTACCCAAGCAGAGGACTGCTTATCTGGCCCTTCTGCTTTCAGCCCTCCTCCACCTTCTTTGCCAAAACTGCCTCCTCTCCTCCTCGGGGGCTGCGTGTCGAGTCATCGGCCCGCTCAATGAGATTCCAGCATGCTGTGTTCTCTAGCAACCGCTGGTCTAAAAATATGGCGGCCCCTTTATAAATAGACCTCGCTCTCTCCCTCCGTGTGAGGAGAAGGCGCGGCGAAAAGCACCCTTTCAAATACCACCAATCAACAATGTTCTGAGCACAATAACGACATCACTTTATCTTGAAATGACCTTTCTGCTTCGGCGTCTGTCATTGTGTCGCGTCCCGGTGCGGTGGAAATAAGATGAGATCACGGCGGAGAAAAGGGCGCGCAGGGGAACCTTTGGACTCGACCGCTAATCAGGCCACTTGGTTCCAACGGTAACAGAACAGAGGGGGGGGGATAAACAGCGAGTGTGAGTGTGTGTGTTTGTCTTTGTGCGCGGGTTGCGTGGGGTTGCTACCTCTATGTCTCGGATCAGGAGCTGCGTAGGTGTTTCCACCGGTGCTTTGGTGTCAATGATCTTCTGGATGGCACACGCCCAGTGCACGGCCTCGTTGAAGTGCTTGCTGTACAGCCTGTAGCAGTGCTTTCGGCCATAAACTGTGATGCTCCAGTGGCCTGGAAGAAACACACACACACACACACAAAAAAACAAACCTTGGCATTTGTATCATTGTTACTTGAAATTCAACGTGCACTTCATATGAAAATGTTAAATAAGTAAAAGGGGTAGAGATCAGGGGACACCTGGCGTGACTTGTACAAATCCCTCCACCTTCTACTTCCTCTCTCGGTTTCAATGAGAATCAAAAGTCATCCTGACAGGAACCTGAGATCATGCCACAACCAAACAATATCCAATGTTCCATCGTTGAGCTGGAACGCAAGTGACACGCGCCTCAGCAATATTCCACTTAGATAAAAACTAAACAAAGGCACACTTCCTCCTTGTGCAGAGGAAGTATTAGATGTAACCCCTGCAGCCTGGCCGGGTCTGCAGGCCCACGGCTGTTATCTGCTTTCCCTGCTACGTGACCTGGCACCGCGCGCACCTTTTGGTTGCGTGTGGTGCGTTTAGGTTCGTGGTGAGGTACAAACACGGAATGATTTTACAACTGAGATTATGACATTGTGATCCTGCCATGGCCATGAAACCGTGTTGTGCTCCTACATTAACTCTGCGGTAAAGTTTGAATGATGCCAGAGATGAGCTCTTAAGGGGAACTAATATTATATGGTAAGAACCTGAAAATACACAGAGGAAGTAAATGCGGCATGAAACTTTCTCGATAATTTAGGAGGAACATGTTTTTCCGCAGTGAAACACCAAAAAAGTGCTTCTGACAAAGTCGCAACTGACAGTACACTTCTGTCCAGGAAACTACCCTGGAACATTGAGCTGTTTTGGTTTCGCGTCATACGAAGGTTGAGACATTTTAAGCGTTTCTGGAGAAATCAGCTGGACACAATCCCTCCATTGATGGGCGGGCAGACATAAGTAGACAGGATGAATAATGCTTCAGTAATACAGCTTTGAAAAAAGTCACCCCTGCGTCTCTTCCCAGAGAAAACCCTTTCTACTGTATTCTTGTAGCTTTTTGTTTCTTTCATCCCAATAAGAGAAGAGGGAACCCCCGTTGATTCCTCAGAGGTTGCTAAAAAAAAAACAATCTTACTCAAAACTACTGCACTCTGGGTTAAACGGAAAGGGCAACATCAGCCGGCCTGAGTGCACCTCACCTGTTTCCTTGTAAGTCTGCTTGTCCGGCCAGATGACGGAGCAGAGGCTGGTGAGGACCAGCGTGCCCAGTCTGCGGGCTCCTTTCTCTGGTCCGCTGTAGTAGTCGAGGGAGTCCTGGCTCAGTGCGAACCAATACCGGCGCTGCTTGATCCAGTTCCCTCGCACCTCCCGCAGCAGCCACCCTAAATAAGATGACACAAATGTAATGTATGACACGGCCATTTCATTCACTGATTTGTTGAGTCATTCAGATTACAAAGCCCCAAACATCCCCCAAAAAGGTGCTGAATTCCAAAATTAGAAGGACATCTTTGATTGAGGGTTTACCTCCACACGGCCCTCAACGTGAACATGCACAGTGCAAACAACAGCAACCATGCTGACGTAGCGACTTGTGTTAACCTGAGGGGCAACTGGACGGCTTTCACTTCCGCAGCGAGTCTGTGGCTCGGGACGGTGTTATCAAGTGTAAATGTCAGCGGCGCACGCAGAGGAACTCATTCACACGCAGGTGGAGCGGCTGCGTTTAGACCGGGCACAGAAAAAAAAGACTTTACTCTCAGGGAGACATTACGCCAGTATTTATTTACATAGCAAATACACGTTTGCTTCTATAATGAGGACCTGAGTTTTAAACGCAGCACCTTTAACCCATACTGCAGGCACGCCCTCCGCTAGGCTTTGAGACAAAGCTCTACGTACATATTAACTGCACACCGCGACAGGCCTTTTCCTTGAAAGCTCTGGGTGGTAGGTGAGCTCGTCATAGAGCCACTAAACCAGTGCCGCCACACCGTATCTTCACTAAGAATAATCTCCAAGGCATGTAATTGTCCATAAAGTTTGCAACAGTCTGTATCCGAGTGCCTTGTTGGGGTAAATAGTAGGGGATAAAAATACAGCCAGCTAATGGCACAGGCATTACGGCCCGCGTGCAGCCGACATAATTACCACTTTAGAGGTTGACAGAGAGATAGAGAGAGAAATGCACTGGAACAGTGCGACACAGCGAGTAAAGCAGACTTTCTTCCGGCTCGTAAGCATGCCCGTTGGTCTTGCCAGGCCTGGCTCTACTATCCAAGACTGTCATGTTCCCAAAGTCCTGAGCGGCTTCGGAAAGACTGCAACAGCCCAGATCCGCAGCAGTAAACTTTTTTTTCCCTCCTCAGCTATGTGTGCAAATTGTTCCCAATAAATACTTGATCTCAGAGGAGAGAGAAGATAAATAAACAAGCTTGGAAGAGCTCTGTCCAGATGCCGCCCGGAGTAAAAGAAGATGGAGGTTACTGAAAGAGTGCTGGTGTGGGTCAAAGTTCATCCAGAGGGCTTAGAGGAGAGGCGGGCACATGGCATCAGCATGCAGGGGCAGAGCACTGCTATACATGTGCAATTTGTCGTGTGGCCGCGTGTGTTTTTACGTGGCTCGTGTGTGTGTATTTGAGAGGGGGGTTGAAGAAAGAATTAGGCCTGCAATGTTCACTTTCCTACCCTGTGAAAATGACAATGAAGCCAGGCTAGCGTCCCATCTTCCTCTGTGGTTAGCAAGCTGTGTGCCACCTGTCAGACGACTCTCACTTATTTCCCGTGTACTTTCATCTCCCCCTTTTCTTCTCCCTCCCCCTGTTTTCGTCCTTGCCTCAAATAGCTTTTCCCAAGCAGTGCAAATCCTCCGCTGGCTCACGGCTACTCACAAAAATATATATAATAAAGAGAGGGGCGGGGGGGGGGCGCAAAAGCTCAGCCCTGCAGGCCATGTTTCCTGTTTAAGAATGCTTCTATATGATACAAGTGGAAAGTCTGAACCCACCCAATATAGCTTAAAGCAAAACCCCTGGGAGGTATTTAACACCACATCAGAGGGGGGGGGGCATCAAAACCCACCATGATATGGATAAATAAAAACCATGAGGTAAGTTGGGCTAAACTTGCTGACAGACTTGATGTGTGACAGGGGGGCATGCCTGCTACCTTGACGCCTCTGTCACAGACACGGGACGCCCGACAGATGCTGCTCTCTTTGTAACTGTAAACAGTGCAATAAGGGAAAGGCAAAAAAAGACAGAAAGAGAGAGAGAGGACACCTCTCCCGTGGTCCCCCATCTGGATCCCATCTCTGTGGCCTGCTAATGTCTCCCCTGAGGGCCACGGCTCACATTTAATTTGTTTCATTTGTGACCCCTGACCCCGAATACCCCGGCCTCTCAAAAACAGATTGTGCAATTAAATCTCTCTCTGAGCATTTCCATCGCTTTACTGCAAACCTCGTGTCCCTCTCAGAGTCATATTTCTAATGAAATATATGCATTACAAATTATTAGTCACCTCACCATAAAGTTCAATTGAAAAATTTGATAACTCGAAAAGCTGCAGGCATATGCAGACCGGCGTGTCACTGATACTTTAAATAACAGGATCAAATGACTATTTTACTATTTAAAGTACTATTTTTAAACATTTTCCAAACCAAAAGCCATAAAATTAACTTTTAACAATTTAAAATAAGCATATATACATTTCTTGCTTCACAATCAAGACTTATTTATATTAATACTGGTGACAACCAAAAATGTTAACCTGGATTTTTATATTTTGGAATTCAACATTTTCCTTTTACATATTAGGAATTATAAATTGGACCTGAACTTTCATTTTTGGTACAATAATTGTTGAGTAAACCTTTTATCCACTTTTGGATCAAACACAGCATGAGAATCTCTGCATAAAAGGAACAGCTCATTTGGACTGTTAATCCCCAAGGGTACATCAATAGAGCCCCGTCTTCTTAAGATCTCTTCTTGGAATCACTCCACGGCTTTCACAGTGCATCCTCCCACCAATGAACTATATCTGCAGCGTTTGAGGGCTAGTTTAGATGCTGGGGCATCTTAACCCCTATATATAAGAAAATAAGAAAAGTGGAGGAACTGTTGGAAAGATATCTCTGTGCCCGTGAGAGGGGTCATCTAACACCCTGAGATGTTGTGGGGGCTGTAATAGCGCAGTCAGTTAATCAATGGCAAGAGGAAAGTTTCCAGGTAAACTATTTCCCTCAAACAGCGAGGCAAGAAAAGCGAGGAGAAGGCAGCAAGGGAGGGGCACTAGCCAGGGGTGCATAGTAACTGCCGTCAGAATTAGGCAACCTGACTAACGCCATTCTTAACGGGACGTAACTTATCCAACTGCTGGCATTTTACTGCTGCCTCTTTACTCTTTACTGCGGGCCAAAAAAGAAAAGATTCACCACAGAAATATCCTATGAGATCATTCCTCAAAAGCACCAGACATACAAAGATGGCGCTCCTGATGCTACGAGCAACCCTTTCATGAAGACATAGAGGGACGGGGGAAGAGCGGGAGCAGCTGTGCCACATGTGGCAAGAGAGGAGCCCAGCATGGGCAGGTAACAGTGCTTGTTAGATTATTAGGGCAATGGAATAAGTACTATAACGCATGTATACAACAAGGCCATGCATCTTATATTAACTGAGGTAGAGTCGTCGAATCAAATGTTTCGTGTGAAACCTGGAAAAAGAAAAAGTGTGGAAAATGCTTCCCAAAGCTTTGAAGTTAGTCCGATTTGTCTAACCAGCAGTCCAACAAAAGCATTTTTTAAATTAGCATTGGGATATATCTATTAAAAAAAAAAAAAAAACACATTTAAGAAAGCATTTCATAATCTTTACCATTAATGTTTAGCATTTTTGCTAGAATAATTAATTGCTATTCAAAATGTTCTATCGATTGAGCGATTTCTATGGTTTGTGCTGCGTAATGACGGGCACGTGTGACTCACCTTTGACCAGCAGCTCAGGCTCTTCCTCCAGGCCCATCTTATTCTTCTCGATGATCAGACTCTTCATCTCTGACACCTCTGACACAGTGTGCCTGTGTAGACGAGCAGAAGGAGAATGTAAATAACTCGGCTACTCCCTCCCATTGGACAGCTAACTGGCCTGGAGACACACAGTACCCCCCCTAAAACTCATAGGTGGGGGGGCCACGCAAGGGGGACTGTAAGAAGTGCCGTGAATATCTGTCCTCCAGCGGTCTCCCAGCGTCCCCCTCTAGCAGCACGCACACACACACACACACACACACACACACACACACACACACGCCACGCAGCTCGTCTCGCTTTTATCACTTTGGCCGCCGCGCAGAATGAGCCACTGAAAATAAACGTGACAGGGCGACGCCGGGCCGGACTCGCTGCCAGCCAGCTCTCACCGGTTCAGAGGAAGGCAGAAGGTTCAAGAGGTCACAGCCTCGGACAGTTGAAACAAACGAAAAAAACAACATTAAAAAGACTTGTAAATCTATCGAGCCGCTGTCCTTTCTTCGTCCGTTTGGTGCCTGGCGAACAGACGCACAGCAACCTCCATATGCTGTGTCAACATCTGGCCAGGCAGGGTTGTGGAATAATGCAGACTCTGTTATCTCAGGCCAAGGCCCATGTAAAGTATATCAGAGTGCTCGTAGGCTTTATCTCTCTTCCTTTATACATCTGATTGCTTGTTTATTTTCTCCATTTCCTGGGTCTAATTAGCATCTGAGGTACAAGTGACAAACGCCTCCTTCATTCCTTCCTTCCTGTCCTCATCCTCCTGTTGGGGGTCATTGCTAAGGAAACGAACCGAGCCCTCCGTCACAGGGACATTTAACCTGCTGATTACCGCCTAATTGATCTGGAAACTCCGGAAGGTTCCTCCTCGCGGAAGCCAGCGATAATCAATATAGAGTACAAATATAGCCTTATCTTTTTTGGCTCTGCTCACATGACTGCAGAAGCCATTTCCTTTCCCTTTGAGTGCACTGACCTGATCCGGTCTTGGCTGTGGTTTATCACGTGGAACTCTGTGACATTACATAGCGTCCATTATGCTTGAATGCATAGAATGCATTGAATATATTTGACATGGCTGATCCTAACTGATCGGCAACAGCTTCTAATTTAGGCCTCAGACGCGGTGAAACTCCATATTTTCGGCCAATTTTTCTATATGTGAGAGTGAACTGGTTCAGGGCGTCACATTATCCTCAGTCAGGCTGTATAACTAAGCCGGCTCGCAGCCTATGGGGACCCCTGACAGTGCATGCATCAACACACCCCACTAATAGGCATTAAAATAAACACAGATATGTGACGACATCTCTTATTTGAGGTGGTTAAAAATCCCTGCTACGTAACAGAGACACACACGCAGAGAAAATCTAAATGTAGCATGAATCATAGCAGAATTTGATCTATGGAAAACTATGCCTCGACTGGAGAATATAGCCTGCCGTGCAGGTGTTTATGTTCCTTGGACTATTCCTATTGTCTGGCATAGGCTTGTATCCAAAATGACGAGAGAAATAAAAAATACAATATTTATAGCAAACACTAATATAACAACTAGGCTTCCTTTATTTAAAACATAGAGGTCAAGTGGTACACATGGCTATGCACCTTGGCAGAGAATAAAATCAAATTTGGCACCATCTTCATCTCAAATGATCAAACTATCCTGACCGTCAGTATAATTCAGCCTTAGCAGAGCCATTTTCACTATTGTGTTCAAAACCTATCCTCATGTTGTTGTTGTTGTTGTTGGGGGCTTTGGGTCTCCACAGCTGTCCAGTGGCTCTAAAACACCAACCCCCACTCAGCCCCCACCAGTCTTTCCATGCTACTGCCCCCACATTCCCAGAAGCCCCAGCAAAGGCCGTGACGGCGGGCCTTTAGCAGGCGACTTCCTGTGGAGTGCAGGAAACAATTTGACATGGGGATTAGACAGCATGGAGAATAGAGCTCTCTCAGAGCGAGTGAGACAGAGACAGAGGGACAGGCTGTGAAAAGAAGATTCAGAAAAGAATAAAGGAATATTTCCCAAAACATGCCGCTAAATAAAGCCGAGTCTAGTAGTAGTTGGAGTTGTGCGAGTGCAAAAGTTGTGTGGCCGCTGCATAGAAGTGAAAGGCAGTATGGTGCCAAGCACTTAAAACATTGCAATATACCTAAAGAACACAATGGTAATGTGGTTGCGACAACAGAGGAACACAGTAATGACTTTGTGAAAGAGAAAAAAGGGAAGAGAAAGCAACATAGATAAATTAAGTGGAACAAAACAATAAAAAGAGGATATAAAAGGGGCAGCAAATAATTACAGGCCCACTGTTGTCTTCAGTTGCTTTAGTTTCACTGTCATTCTATTCAATTTAGTCGAATGCAAACTGTGATCAGACCTTGTCAAGCAGGCTGAATATTGACAGTATGATCCATCCCAATAAAAATATTAATACATATTGATCCTCCAAAATCACTTCCATTACTTGGGAGATTTACTGGAAAACCATGCGAGTAGACCAAACCCCATGTCCTTGAATGAGTGATAAAGGTGTAGGTTGTCTCGCCCTAACAGGCCCGACTAATTCAACATTAGAACAGGGGAGCTGTCAGTCAAGCACAGTCTGTACACGCCCACACAGTCCTGACAAAGGTGTAAGTAGGTAGTACACTTATAATAAGGCTGTTTTTACTACCTCTTGGTTACCACGCCGGTCTTGACCGTCTCATTCCTCATGCTAGGTTTGTTAAAATAGAATTGGAATTCCAAATCTGAGCTGTTCTGATATCTGACAATATCTCTCCTTTTGGTGAAAATAACTCCAGTAATGTAAACAAACCATTGGAAAATATCTGTCCAGGCCTCATTTCAGGAAGTTGATTTACTTACGTCTGCAATTCTCTTACAACTCTTTCAAATTCCGTTGAACTTGCAACTAATTAAAGAGAATCAATAACAAGTTTATTTGCATCTGGTTTCACTTGTTAATAAAAACCGCCAATGCTCACAGTAGGGTAACCAAACAGTGTGAACAAATAGAGGTCTTCCTGTTCTTACCGCTCTGATGATTTAGCATGAATGCAGCCTTATTGAAGAGATTTACTAAATACTGTACTAAATAATGTTTTATTAAGGTCATCACTGCTCATGAGCACATTGTGTGCAGCCCTTTCATGGTGACAAGGGCGGTGACACAGTTAGAACCACAAAGTGCGAGCAGCACAATTAACTTGGGAGGGTTTATTCATCATGAGCGATGAAGAATTGATTTCAGTCAGGGGTCAAATTAATAACGCAGACGCGCTAATTGACGTAAAAAACGTTGCGTCCTTGCTCCCGGGCTTGGATGACCGCAGTGGAAACAGCGGAGGAGTATTCCGGCACACAAAGCGGGTCCTTCTGACCACGAGAAAACACACAGTTGCAATCGTGACTGTTGTGTGGATGCGTCATTAAAATACTTCAATTATTATTTATGCGATCAACAAAATGTCTGGTACACGAATGCATCTTTACAAATGACCTCAAAATTCACCAAGGACTGATGAGCCCGGGCAGCAAACCCTATTAAACTGTGCACAATGACTTTCATATATCAAGTTACTCAGTTCATTAGAACTCAGGGAAGGCCGTAAGGATAAATGACACTATCGACGACCCTTAAAATACAGTGGGCCATACTGTATCTCCACATAATCCATTCCTCAAGTCTTGATCCCCTCCCCAACGTCTAACGGTCCGCTGGGCGAAGCTGCCTGGTGGGAAAATGGGAATGCGGTGATTAAGACTGGGCCTATATGACCTCCTGGCTAAAAATACGCTGTTTACTCAAGACCACTGCCAAGAAGTACTGGAGAAGGCAGAGGGAAAAAAAGTAATGTTTTGAAAAAAGGTAGGGGGCCAGGGGGCTGTGTCTGTGACAGGAAGTCTGAAGGAAAGTGTGTTGATTAGACCCTTTAGGATTGAGAGTGAGGGAGATGTTAGTCGGAGGTTACCCTGATGGTGTGATTTAGTGAATTCAAACCTTTTGCATTGTTAACTATGCCAGATTGCAGTGGTAGGATGAATGGTCAACATCCACATGGATCATGCTCACACTCTCTCTAAGACACACGCATATATTCACACACCTGAAATATATTTCATGTCTCTTTCAGTGAAAAAAGAAAAAAAAGGACTGAATGTGAATGACGACATGGCGAATGGTGTGAAAAGGAGATGGAGAAGTTCTCCATTTTTGACGTTCCTTAATGTTCATTTCGTGCTCTGCTCTCTGCTGGAAGGAACTTAAGAATCACAGCAGGAGGGAGCACATGTGCTTACTGGAGGCAGTGAGGGGAGACCGCGGCCTCCCGCCTGCAGAGATATGTGCATCTCCGACACCCTCAGTAAGATGCCTACGACTGCAAGAGGTCAGAGCAAACACGCAACATATCTATTACAGGACCCCTGACATAGGACAAACTAATATTATTATTTAAAAACTGTCAGCGTCCCTAGATTTGTATTTGCACTAAAGCTTGGTAATCTTTTTAAAAGGAAATTTTTTTTAAAGCATTTTATCATTATTTTTTCAACCAAACAACAATTAATGCAATGAATAGAGTTGATGGTACATGTGTCCTGCAGCTATGTCTGCGTAATTCAAATCCTGTTAGAAGCCTTAAAAATGCAGACAAATGATGCTAGGTTAACAATGTGAGCATATTGTAAACAAAATACTTTGGTGACACCCAATTATAATTAGAGCCGTTTCACATGTGTACCCACTCTCCGTATCAACACAGGCCGGCTACGTTCCCTCCGTTACCACATCATGCTGGCGGCGCGATGAATTATCCAAGCATTACCATATTAACCTCCGTCTAGCAGGACAAACAGGAATCCCTCCAATGCATCACAGTCCACCTCAATCGCTTAATAAAAGTCAATCGGAGCTGCCCCGTCTCTTACACGAAGATGAAAGGACGTGGAACCATTTGTCATGATGCAGGACTTTTTTTAGAGCCTGGCTTGGCTTTCCCTCCGTACAGCTGAAGTTCTGGGCGCGTCGGGTCGTTAGCCAGGTAATGATCACGTATTGCAGACATTTAAACTCTGCACTCTGGCGTGACAATCACAGGCAGCCGTTCAAACGCACTCCCTTCAAAACCAGTAGTTAATTAGCCCAGGTGACCCGGGGTCACCTCTGCTATAACGTAGAGGTGACACACACCCGAGGCACACCTCTTCTAGGAGTGGTGATGACGTAGGACTGAGTCACCCTATCCAGTTAGACGGACCCTCCCGCGCGCCTTAAGCGATAGCGCCGACACGGAGTGTCAAATCTTCAGCTAGCTTCAGCTAGCAGCTCTTCCCTTGCTGGGGGGTGTTGCAGACCGTCGTCGATGTACAGCACAGATTGCAGATGAGGAAAGTGGGAGAGAAGGGGGAGTAGGGGGGGGATAAGGGCATGATGCCAGCGACAGAGTGGAGCAGAGCCCGGCTACATCACTGTCTGAGATCACAGCCCTGCACTAATAGTCTGGATCTAGCCCTGCATGAATCACTCCTTTTCATTGGCGCTAGCATTCACTTGTCAACCACATGACCGTTTCAATTTCATTATTCAGGACACGCATAGTGGTTCCTTGTAATGGCGGTTTGATCATACAAACTTCTAACTAACTAAGTGATTAGATTTGTCAATCTGGAAGCTAGACAGAGTTCGCCTTTAATAGATTAGAAAATTCTAGGTTGACGATTGACATATGATCGGTCACAAAAAGCGAAGCCAACCTTTGAATGGCAAAGTTTGATTAGCAAAAACAGACAACCATAATCCATAAGCAATTGAAGTACCACTACAGCTTGGAAATGTTATCGGAGCGAGCTCAAATGACAGTCAATATACATGTTAGTCTGGAATGCTTGTATGGGCACACGCGTGTGAGCGTGGATTTGTGGTAAGGCACATGTGGCATGACAAGACATATGAGGCGAGCCCCGTGAGAGAAACCATACTGGGAAGATGAAGGGAAAATCCAGCGACGGGCCTGGACCTACACATGTGCCTGTCGGGTGATACAGAACTCCCCATCACTCATGAGGAAGTACGTGAGCAAAATAAGGAACTATTAACTCCTGAAATTCAGGTTTTGCAAAATAATCTGTTGCTATTTCTCCTTACCCGTTTGTTCCATTGGCCGTGAGAGTCGGTTGAGAAACCGTCACTTCAGCAGGACTCTGTCGACAGAAGACGGAGAATAGGGTAAATAGATGATAATGCAACACAAACAGCAGTCTGTCCTGAGAACTAGTCAACAGGTTGGGGTGAGTCCTCAATAGTGTGCCTTCAGTGGCCATGTTACAGTAGAGCGTGCAGCAGCCGTTGCTGGCAGTCTCAGCACATAGCTGCTCTGTTCCTGCAATGCTTGGCTTTCACATGCAAGGGGTGAGCTGGTGGGGAGAATTATGGCATTGAAAAACAGGCTCATTTAACATAGGAGTGGGGAACAGAGGAAACATTTGTGTCATAGCTGCTTGCACCCCCCCTCCTCTCCTCTCCCCGGCAAACCCGTCATTTCTCTAAGAAGCGAACCAAAAAAACCTTGTCTTTGAGAATGCACTCATAACAGGAACTGTTGCCTTCGTCTTTTTTATCCACATTTACTTTTATAATGTCACAGGTTGGCTTTAGCTGGGAGTAAACAGGCAGAGAAGAAGAAAATAAAAGCCCCGCGGTTGTATTAAAAAAGGCATTTGCGAGGTCAAAAATGATGCTGTATTAATGTTAATAACCTGATAAAGTTTTAGTGTAAATGATCACAACTGTAAGGCAGTCCCTCGTATCGGATCACATTCCCTCTCTCCTGGGTTGTTGTTTTGTATGGAAACTGGGTTTAGTGCTTCCACTTGACGACAAACGGGCCGGCCACGGGCATATCAGAATCAGAATCAGAAGCCATTCATTGCCACATATGTTACACACAGAGGAATTTGACTTGGTGCATTGGTGCAATATACGAATAAAAGAGGTTGCAAGCTACTTTCAGGGGTGGAAAAATTCCCTTTTCATTCAGGGCCTCCCATGTTCAGCAGAGGAAAGGAAAGGATGTTTCCTTTCATGGCCCCTAGAACACCGACCTGACCTTGGAAAACCCCATCAGACACCCGACCTTCCCTGTGTGCGATTTGGACAGAATCCCGGGTGTCCCGGGGGGCACTGTGTGTCCTGACCTTTTCTGTGAGAAACGGCCTTGAGCCAGCTCTTGCGTCTGCCCCGGCCAAGCCCAGGGGTGTTGGCCAATCAGGAACCCTATCCAGGTCAGCTCTGGACCCCGTACAGTTCACACACCACACTTTACTACTGGGCAACCCAGCCTAAGTATAGTCCTGGCCATGCAAACAAAGTCCACTGCTTCTTTTTGGATTGGTCAAAAATATCAAACAAAACCTGCAGTGCAAATTTAGAAGCTAGTATGGAGTCTGTGTTTATTTATTTATAAGGCAGATGGAATGGGATTTGTCTAATGTTTACCTCGGGGTGAGGTAACCCTCTGTAAATGTCAAACCAGACAGGCAAGAATAACCAACGAGTGTCAGAATGCGCCTTGTGAATGGAAGAGGGTGTTCATGGTAAGTCTCCCAGAACCAACGCTGGAGCCCCGGAACAGAACATCGTTCAGACAGGCAACTAAAAATAACAAATCAATACTAATCACATCAGAGTCTGCAAAGCTCTAATCCCCTGATTTAAAATCACGGGATCAATAACTTAATGGGTCAGGGGGATCGGGTTTGCAGAATATTTCCAATAAGTCTCCACAAGGGCTGGCGATTTAGAAGAAGACAAATAGCTACTCAGTTATCGGGTAGTGGAGCGAGGAGCGAGGATAGCGTGCGATGCAGAGCCCTGGCAAAAGCCCTCCCCGAGGAAGGGAAAGGGATGAATCACTCCAGACGAAAGCATAGTGTGGAGGGAAAGATGCCGTGATGTGTTCCTTCCGTGGCCTACTTCCGCTCCTGCCTCCCCTCCTACCCGTCCCCCCAACCCCCATCCACTCCCTCTCGCTCCCTCCAGCTCTCCAGAGGCTGAGTAACCAGGAGGAAATGCTCTGGCTTTGGCCGGTGTCGGCTCGAAGACCAGATGTGTGGCCCGGAGGTGGTGAGGCAGGGACGCAACGGAAACCAAATACAACACCAGCGCACTGCGACACCTCTGAAGGCAGAGGGCAGTAGCGGCGTTTTGACGGGACCCACTCCCAAAAGGCCGGAGTGTGCCCGTTTGTTCCAAGAAACGGGACGCACCGCAGTGCTCGTGCCCACACTTACAACTGCGGAGGCGCGGACACTCCAGCGGTGGTAGTTTATTGGTTAAAAAAACTGAACAAAGTTTCAGTGGAAACATGGAAAGAAGAGAGAATGACGGATGTCCTGTCCTGAAATAGGTTCTTTGCTGTCCCAACACTGGAGGCATTGAGCTCAGTTTGACTGTTTGGGCAGCTGCTGGAGAGCAGTTTCTTTGAATGAGGACTGTAAACATGCAGTGAAACGCTTCTGACAGGGCACTGTGCTTCGCAGGGCCAAGCCTGCGAGGACGTCAGCACTGAGTCATGATTCCAAACCTCAGTGAGAAAGAGTCCTGCCAGAGAAATGGGTGTCGTCTACGGCCCGGGTGCTGTGGACGCTACGCACCACGGCGTTCGCTGGCAGCGAGTTGGGAATCAACGCAGGAGACGGCGGTAAAGACTTTGGATGTCTTGAACGAAGGAGACTCCTCCAGACCTGTGGGTTACTGTGGGCAACGGTGACGGCAGCTGGAGAGAGGCCTACTAAATGGAGTATTTCCATGCTACGAAGCCCAAAACACACACACACACACAAACGCGAGGCGGTTTGACCTGCTCTCTGAAAATGTGGCGCTCTGGTTAAACAATGGAACGCAGCCTAGAGGGGCTTTTCCCTGGGACTCATCTTTAACCACACGCCCCACCTCCTCCGTATACGTATATATTGTAAGTGAAGGGACTGTGTGGTGAGTAACACACAAAGTTGTTCAACAGTGGATCAGCTGATGATATTTGCTTTGTTTGGAATGGTTCAGCTGGGATTGTAATCATTGGCTCAGGGTGAACTTTTGACATACTATTACAGCATCCAGCATGAACCGGGGACACAGATTAAAGGGAAACAGGATTTGAGGAAGTGGATTGATTCCCTGGAAGCATTCAGGAATCAATAATCAGTAACTTAAGAACACCTGGTTGCGCGGAAAACAACAACAAATACTGGGGGGTCCAAAAGTACAGTTTACTTTGGCTTCTAGGTAAACAATGTGTTTTCTGTCATTGAGAAGTCATTGATAAACTGAACAGGCCGAACGTTGTGATAGATTAATAAAAAGACTGTCAGGCAAATGTTTTAGTCGCATTAAAACTTGCACGCATGCATGAACATATTCCCGAGAAATCAACGCTGTAATCAGCGATGCAATGCAACAATGGTACAGAAAGCTTTGTTTTAGGACATATTCTTGTGCAGACATTAAACCAGTTTAGAAATTGCACTGGCCTCAGGACAAAGTTAAAGTGCAGCAGTATCAAATGGGACTCATCCACTAGAGGCGCTAAAGGAAGGCCACGACGAGATCCCTCCATCAAAATCATAATGTCTAGGAGCCCGAATAACTCATGAGCAATTCAATGAACACATTCCACTTAGAGGAACACGATACTTGCAATTGAGCGAAACGTGGAATTCTAATTCAGGATCAAGTATCCAGGAAAGTTGAAGGAAAAAGGACATATCTGCGTCTCACTTCAAAAGGCCATCAGGCATCTCCATTGCGACATGTTACTGTGATCTCATATTGATCTGGTGTATGGAGCGCGGTTTGGTTTCTTTGAGCGCCAGATGGTACAGATGGTTACGACCAAGACAAGAATGTTTGCCAAGAAGAAGATTGCTACACACGATCACCTCTCTGGATACCCCGGAGAAACAGATGTTTCTCTTATCAGGCGGCTGCTGGTACGGTTAGATTTCTGTTGAGGCAATAACTGTGTAAAATAGATCTGGTCCCAACGTTTTCATGCATATCTCCGTGCTGTGGCACTGGTTGGTTGACGCGGACAAAGGGGTCAGTAAATTGATAAGAGGGCTATTCAAGTTATGGCCCCAGGTGCCATTACTTTTTATCTGCAAAGCCGTGGTTTCAATGAACACACAGGCCTATTACACCACATAATTAATGCAAATTAAAAAGGTAAACATTCTGCCAGTAAAGAGTGAGCGTATGTGAGGGAAAAGCACCTGGCTCCGATACAAATGTAAAGGGTGGACTTTAGAAGAGACCGTACATAAAGATCTGCATGCTGGGTCATTCGGAGAGAGCCCACCTCAATTCAAGGCAACAATGCCCCCTCACAAGTGGGTGGACAATGCTGAACTCTCTGTGCCTGATCAGATGACTGACATTACGGAGAAGACAAGGCCACTGTCTTATTTGCAATTGAGCGGACTGGGGGGACAAACAGACAGGATCACTTCAACACCCTTTCTTTTTTCGTCTTTTTTTTTTAAAAGCTTGCATCAGCGTGCGTGAGTGCGTGCGTGCGGTTGCTCAATGTTGCCCAAGCCTCCAAGACCGTGCAAACCTAAACGGCAAGCTGGCCTGCAGCAGCAGCAGCAGCAGCAGCAGCAGCAGCACATTCTCTACCTTGCATCAGTAATGCAGGTCAGTATTTACCAAGTGTCCGACTCCCACAAATAAACAGCCAACGTGTAAGGACCGTAGCTCGCAACTTCTAAATAGCAGCACACCATATTGCCAGGAATGATCACAGTTTGCATTTCTTCTCAGCTCCAAAACTTTATTACTTTGACAGACCTATCATTCATATTAAGAACTGAAACACATGAACGCTGAAATCATGCTCCAGAAGATGAGCCCGCATTAGAAAAAGTTCAACAAGTGTAGAGGGCAGTTTTAAAGGCCGGTTTTTATCATTTAAAAAATATATATATTTAAAATATATACCATTATGATGCAAATTGTGTCGGTAAAGTATTAATATACATAATAACTGTATAATAATGTGTTTTTACCCGTCCATTGGGAGTCAGGTCCTCCTTGTTGCGTAATTCAAAAGACTCTTCCTCCTCTTTCTCCCCATACTCCCGTCCGAGCAAACTGAAGCCCTGCCTGCAGCACAGAAACCAGCAAACCCCTTGCAAAGGCATTCAAATGAGGTTAAGTGTGTCTTCTGCTGCTATCCAGGTCGGCGAAGTCAACATTCACCGCGCCGTTCTCTGCCGCAAAGTGACTTCCAGGAGCTGCGTGAGAGCGCGCGGGGCCGCCTCTCCATAGGTGTCCCCCGAGGAGGATGAAGGGCCGCATAAACTCACTCCCTCCGAGCTCTTAACAACTGTCCTCGACAGCAGTCATACCCGAGCGGAGACCAACGGGGAGCCGGTTCAAGGGGAAATCCACGCCAGGACTCGCTCGCTCGCTTGCTCGGGACACCTTTGCCCGGTCGCTGTTTGTAACAATTTCCCACGAACAAAGTTACATCAAAAACCCATTTGTTTTCCCCAAAAAGTGTCACTGCGGGTTGAGAACGCATTCGGGTCAAACGGCGTCGGGCGGAAGCGACGGTGCTTACAAAGCGTGAAAAAACACATGAGAAAGGTAAAAAACGCGCAGCTCCGTAGAGGACAAACTGCTTTTTGAGTTTGGATTTAAGCGTCCCCCAGCGGGGACAGGATGGTTTGGGGGGGGGGGGGGGGGGGGGGGGGACACGCCCCACGCAACACACGTTTAAGCTGTGATTGGCTGAGCGCAGACACTCCTCAGAAGAGCACGCCCACTGGGCACGCCCCCACACTGACAAAGCGTCACATGTCCTTTATTACAGTAGATGTTGGTAATTATCACCCAGAACACCTGATATTCATTCCTTCATTCTGTAGTGCTCATTAGTAAGGGAATCATTTTAATAACAGCTGTATGCGGACATAGAAACCTAATCTGATAGAGATGTTTTACAATAACAACCTAGGCTAAAAAACAAAAAAAGGTTCCTTTACGGCACTTCATGGTGACATATTACATGTTTTCTATACATGTTAAATATTATAATATAAACAATATATTCTACATATTAGAGTATAAATATCATGAAGAATTGCCCCTCGTTGCAAGTAAAACCTGCATTAAAAATGGCTTGTTTGTAGTTTGGAAATAGAAAGTGGTATTCTTATTCAGAATGTCTCATGTCAGTGTTATTTCATTATTTTGCTATTGGATCAGTGCTTCAATGCAGTAGCTGGTTACTTGGCGGAGTTGTTCAATATATACAATTGCATTACAATTTGTGAACTGATCCCATGTGTATTTGTACACATGTGTTTTTGGTACCATAGAGAAATATATTTAGTTACTAAACCTTGCATATTTTAAATCAATCTTTGTCTGTGGTAGGCCTACTGTACAGCATGATTGAGGACCAACTTGTGGAAAGGGAGATCAGATATGGTTGTGTCATGATACCACTAATTACCTCCACTGTTTGGTTACAGCTGTATGATCCCTCTAGATCTTTTCTATAGATATTATTCTTTCTCGTACTTTCTTTTTCTTTCAAATACACACATGCACTTGCATGAAACACACTCCTCCCCCACGCAATCCTCTTTCACTTAGCTGAACAGTCTACAAAGGTTCGGCAGTTGAAGGAAGGAGGACTGGTGCTAAATCTAGACACGTGATACACCCAAACCCTTGTATAGGCAGTCCCCTCGGCGCTCATGCTTAATTTTCCCTTAATATCCCTTCATTTCCCCTTCTCTGCACCGGGCTAACTCCCCCGCACACATCTCAGTCAGCCGCATTTAACTGGTTCCTCACCAAAAAGAGCTCTTAGCTGCTGGTCCTCCCACTTTAGCTTGATAGATGGGCTCCTCTGATTCAGTTGTCCCCAAAAAACACACAACCCTGCCCCTTCAGATCGTTTTAACTCTTATTCTTGTTCCCCAAGGGCTTTGTAAAATCAATTTAAAAAAAAGCCTCACAGCTCCACCTTTTCAGCTGGCAGGTAGCATAAGGAACAGTAATCATGACCTCTCTCACCGCATCCGCGCCACTCACTCAGTTTCGAGTAACACGGCCCCGCATTTCAACCTCCAATGGCTAGAGGAGATGGAATAAGGATATCTGCACCAATAAATCGAATATAATTGACTTTATTTGTAGCTTCCTTTACTTTTGACGTGTATACATTACAAAGGAGCTTCCATTTATTCCCATGCAGGAGATAATATTTTCTTGAAAGTACAGCAGCCACTCCCTCTGTGCCTGTATGCACAGTATCTCTCTGCAGGCCAGATCCTCCCTATCCTCCCCCATATCCCATAACAATACGCCGGGGGGGCCTCCCTTCCACGGACCTGGAGGAACATGAGTTTTATTTTTAGAGCTGATGCTCTCAGCCCACGCTAATAAAGTGAAAAAAAGAGAAAAGTCCTCCACATGGTTTCTGAAAGAGTTGAAGTCAGTACAAATAAAGCAGCACAGTCCGAAAGGTCTGTAGAAACCATCAGCTAAATATCCTAGATTGATTTTTTATCTTTTTTGTGAGAAAACAACAAGATATTCTTCTAATTTCTCTTCTCCCCCTACAGTTATTTAGTCTCATTCACTGTCTCCCCCCCCCGCCTCCCCCCACCTCTATCCTTCTCCTCCCCTCTTTCCAGGAGATGACACATGACTCCCCATTAACACGCACACACACACTTACATTTGGACACACGCGAGATAACCTGATACAGTGTGTCAGGTTGAGGCACTGGATCAGGAGAAGGGCAAATTATTTGGTTGGGCTCCGAGAACACGAGCATGGCTGGATAGACTCGAGCCACATGAGAGGAAAGTGTGAAATCTGGAATACAAGTATAGTTTCTTCAAGGCTCAAAACAGCGGGATGATGATGCTAGATGAGGTTGAGCTGCGAAAATCAAACCAAATATCTACAACGAGTAAAACAACGGAAATCAGGTCGTATTTCTTGCAAGTTGACGTTACTCTTTGCTGTGTTAACGCAACTTTGCCATTGGTATATTCTCTCTTTAATCTATGGCTGGTCCTACCCACATCCTGCCTGCCCACTCCTTACACCGCTGCCCCTTGAAATTAGCGTGTGGGGTTTCCAACGGAGAAGAGTAGACACAAGTTGCACACGTCGACTTGATCGGAAACAGAGCGCAGCGCTGCGGCGTTCCCTCAATTCTCCCTCTGTGTCTCTCGACCCTTCCCCTTTGAGTTTCTTTCCTGCGGGATCCTGTTTCACTGCAGCCCACATCGCAGACACGCTCTTGCGTTGGTGGACCTGATTGATTGTCAACAGAAAGGGACGTGAGATGTAGTCTGTGAAATGCAGTAAGGCCGAGGAGCTCCCTGCATGGTTCACATTTGGCTGGCCGGTGTGCGTTCTGTTGGTGACGATGGATCAGATCGTTTGATGTATTCGCAGAGCCCTGTGGCGTTTATGCGTTTGAGGTTTCATTTGAAAATGAGCCCCCAACGGGGTCTCCTGGCATATACTATGGAAGTCAATAACACACTCTGTTCAAGACAGCTGCTCTGACTTTGGTGATCTTGCACAGGTTTCTCTTTAGAAGTCCAGCCCGAGGTCAGAGTTTATCTGACAACCCCGAGCTAAGGATTTAGGATAGGAACTAACCTCCAGCGACCCCTTTCCCAAAACTCAGACAGGATTTCCTGCCCGCCGTGTCCAGCTTTGGACTTACCCTCATCCTGCCGTGCCACCACCAGCCAGTGTTTGTAAGCCCAGCAGAGAGTGTGGCTCTGGGTTGGTGAACAGAGGACTGCTGTTTGACGGCTGTTGGACTGTGTAATGGGATCGGGAACTACGGAAACCACTTGACCTAAAGTTCCCACTGCGAAACATCCAGCTGTGGCTGTGGATCGTCTGTGACCGACGGGCTTCATGCTCGAAAATCGGAAGAAACGATGATGGAAAATTCATTCCAATTAAATGAATTATAAATATTTTGGAAATACTTCACCTCAGCCCCCCAAAAAATCTTCTTTGTCACACAGCTTCCCTCCACTACCTTGTCCAGCACCTTCTTGTCTTCCTGTGGTTGATCAGGATCAGTGTTTAGGAGCATCAGGGACAACAGGGGGTGTTCCTCACCCTGCGGGCACATCTGTTCATGGGGACTGCGTGGCACACAGGCTGGTGTCAAGGAAAGGCCAGGCGGGAGAAAACATTCCCAGCTTCAACTTCTGACCCTCTCGCCCCAGTTAACCCCTCGCACCCCCCCCCCCCCCCCCAACCCCCCAGACCCCCCCAACCCTCCCAACCCTCCCTCACCCCCCGGCCTGGCTTCATTACAGTAACCCTTGACGCTCCAGACTCTCGCACACTGGCTCAATCTGTCAACACATAAAATGCCTGCAGAACCTGGATGAATCATTGTGTTGGAAGGAAGCACCTCAGGTTTGAATACACGGTGATATTCTAAACCGGAGGCATCTGTCACTAGACTATGGGTCTGTTACTGACTGCGTACTACAGCACCGTGCTACTTTGCTTCTGCACCGTGGAAGAAAAACACAAGCAGTGACAAAGTCCTTGCGAGGGATTTTTTGAAAAGTCCTGGTTGTTTGTTTGTAGCAGCTGCCGCAACATGCCAATGTTAAAGAAATACATCAAAACCTTATTCTTTAAAAATGGTTTACGCCTGCAAGCATTTCAACATTCCAGGACCATCTATTACGTTCATGTTGTTAAATAATTCAGATTTCATTTCCAGACATTCTTCAGCATGGGGGAAAATGAAAATAAGAGCAGCCTCGTTATCTGTCGGCGGCATCCGAAGCCAAGTGAGCAGGAGTCTGCAATCTCAGGCAGAGAGAAAGATGGCGGATTGATGGCGATTGATAGACAACCAGAGCAGATAAAAAACAGAAGAGCTGAGAATAAAGCTTGCAGAACAAACAGCAACTCAAACAAACTGATCTGACATACGCCCCTCATATTGTCTGGTATTTTTACACCAAAGAGGAAACAAAACCAAAACAGATAGGCATCCCCCAAACACCAGTATACAATGAGTCTTCTTGTATTTGTAGGAATTCCAAAAGGCAGTGAAGAATCAGGTCAGCCCGTCCTCCTTCCTGTTCTTTTTTTGGAAGCTTACGGAGACTTGGAGAATCCATAAGACTCTTGACCTTTGAGGTGGTTAATGGTTGAGCGTGGTTATTGGTTGAGCGCGGTTATTGGCTGTGCTCCTGTAGGTTTTAACAGTGAGCGTTAGTGCGAGGGAGATAAGTTATTGACAGTTGGGGAGGCTGGGCCGAGCGCCAAAGTCCTTCAGCTATTTTTAGGATGCTGACTTGTGAAAGTACACTGAATACAGAACTTCTAAAACATTGCCAAGATCTGAACATGTGCTGGATTAGAGGTGTCTGTGTGCACTTTGCATTGATAAATGTGCACAAGGGCTCTTTTGCACAGAAGCACAGCTACGAATGACAAACCGAGTGTGTGTGTCTTTGTGTGCGATTGACGGCAAAGTTGCAGCGCTCGATTTTCAAATGGAGAACTACACTAAAAGATGGACATTTCCAAAAGGATTTGTGAAATCATTTGAAACGGTCTGATATTTGTGAGGGAGTCTTGGCCTGTGCGCCTCTGCATCGATCACA